GTCCGCACTGTTAAAAACGTTAATGACCGCCCTTACGAGAAGAGCAGACTCGTCGTACAAGGATATAATGATCATGAAAAGCACGATATCATGACCCAAGCTCCGACAATTATGCGATGCAGCCAACGACTGGCAATGGCCCTGACACCGTCTTTACGACGGCTAGGATGCCTCGCTGCCTCTCGAGACATCACCATGGCCTATACGCAGTCACGACACCCTATGAATTGTCTTGTCTTATGCAAGCTGCCCATTGAACTAAAGAAGAAGTATCCAGAGGGTACGATTCTTCGCGTCGACAAACCCCTATATGGAATCGCAGAAGCTGGGAATCATTGGTATGACACATACTCCGCCCACCACAAGAAAAGACTAGAGATAGAGATATCTGTATACGACCCTTGTTTATTCATTACGAAGAAAGGCAACGACTTTGCTATCGCAGCCCTTCAAACTGACGACACCTTTGTCATTGACACTACCGGCTTCCTGGAGAAGGAAGAAGACGAAACGAGGAAAGCGGGCTAGAAGACGAAGCCACGAACCCAGTTTAATACTGGTTCTTCTGGCGACTTCAACGGATGCCGCCTAGAATTTCAGACTGAGACCATGACAGCAACTCAAAAGGGACAAGCTGACAAGCTCGTCCTGATTGACATGAGTGACAAGGATTACAAGCAGAGATTCGTTGAGCAACGAGCGAGAGGCGCCTACATTGCCTCTATCTGTCAACCAGAAGCCGTATTCGACTATTCTGTCGCAGCCCAAGCCTAAGAACCCTCCGACAAAAATATCGAGATATTAAACAAACGTATTCAGTGACAACTGGACAATAAGTCACATGGACTTCGATTCGTAACGATTGATTTGTCTATTGTTAAACTCTTTGTGTTCATTGATGGATCATTTGCTGACAATAAGGACCTATCATCACAGATCGGATTTGTTATTATTCTCAGGAATGAATCATCTGGCAATGGCGAGACATTTACATTTGATCTGACCAGAAACATTGTTTATGGGTCCTCTACTAAATACAAGAGAGTCACACGGAGCGTTCTAGCTTCTGAAGTATATGGCATGGTTGCTGGCTATGATTACGGATACGTGATCCACCGTACACTGGCAACTATCTGCCAACGCCTTGAAGTACCTACGATCCCCCTGATCCTCTGCACAGACTCATACTCGTTGTACCAGTGCCTTGTCAAGCTCGGCACTACCAATAAGAAGCGTCTGATGATCGACGTCATGGCGCTCCGGCAGTCATACGAGAATCATGAGATCACAGAAATCCGATGGATCCATAGTGAGGATAACCCTGCTGACTCGATGACCAAGTCGTCTCCAGATAAAGCCCTTTATGGTCTTGTTTCTGATAAGAAGACAACGGTTCGAGTTGAAGGCTGGGTTCAACGTTGAGATCACCTGGATGGATGGTTTGGTGGAATCGCAATCATAAAAGAAAGAGTATCCTGTGTTGGATCTATGCAATTCCAGCCTGCAAACCATCTATACCAAGACCCACATGTATGATTAGATAAGAGATAGATACCGGATTGCGAGGTTACTTAGCCAGACCTTCAGGTCCAGCTAGACCTCCCAATCCAACCATCAGCAACATCATGACCTTGACCCCATACTCGAGTATTATGATTGATTGTTCAAGCCTGTTCCAACATAATATATTATAAGAAAATTAAGTTAAAACTTTTACAAAGTAACTTTTATTAAGCAATTAAAGTATTTCAATAAAAATTAAATTAAACTATAAACGTAGGTTAATATTTACTTTTTTTTAGAAAGCTTCAAAGTCCTTCGATATTTATTTACCTATAATAATTACTTATAATTTAGAAAAGGACAGCGCTTTTGAACGAAAAAAAAACGGTTAAAATTAATATCTGATGTAATAATTTTATATATTTTAAATTAAATTAACTAGATCTTATATCGTAATTATAATAAAATTATAACTTAATGTTTACCAATTTAATTAAATTATATATATATGAATAACTTTTCAAATATAAACCTTCCAAGTTCAACAACACCGTTGTAATTAATATTAATTCATCTAAAAAGGTTTTGTTTATATGATTATTTTCATAAAGACGTTAAATTAATTATAAATTTGTTTTAACCAAAATCAAGCGTGTACATACTAATGAACATAAAATAATAAAAACTAAAAAAGTAAACACTAATTATGAAAGTTTTTAAAGTTTATTAAAAAGTATTAATAACGTTAAAAATAAGGAATTATTATTTAAAACATTATTTACGTAACAAACAAGCTCGCTTCAAATATTATTAAAAACCTTATTAAAGTAAATGTTATATTAAATACTTCAGCTATTAATAATACTCTTATTAAACGTTTTCGGAGTAACTATAATAAAGATATTAAATTAACTCTTACTTGAATAACTAGTACAAAAAAGAATATTAATATACGTTAATAAATGGATAAGTAATACCTAATATATTAAAGAAAATATAACTTTTTTTTATAGCTAGCATTTTAATATATATTGTAAAGAGGTAGTAATAAAAAGGACCTATTATAACAATTAAATAGATTAAATAACGGCTAATAAGGCCGTATAATATTATATATATATACTGTTTGAACCCTTTTAATTTAAGATTTTTAAACCGTACTTATATATTAATATACACCTATATATACACGTTTTATAAGTGAATATATTCGCGCTTTATAAAATCTAGTAGTGTAGTGTTGAATGCACGGATGTTGATTGATCCTATTGATTGTTCTGCTCTGCGTGCAGAGATTGATCATCTGTCTTCTTGGTGTGTCAGGTGCCCTGTGCGTCTCTGCCCCACTGGAGATCTTCCGGTGTCTATCTCCGGCTCCCATTCAACACATTCGTGCTAGTATCTAACAATTATAGTGTTAATAGCTCCGAACAGGGAGCTTTCTAGGCATGTAGCGGCCTCACTTGGTGTCTCCCTGTACCACGGGGCGTTACCACGCGTTCTAAGAGCAATCCATCCATCCAGTTGGGACTTGCGATGGTTGACAATACCTGATGCTTTATCGAGGTGTGAGGCGAAAGCCGGATCGCCAACTTGCCGCGTGGCGTGATGGCCACCTTCAGGCTAACGGATTGGCTGCTTACTCTGGAGTCGACATTAGACCCAGACGAGTATTGCCAATTTGCTCGATGGAATTGGCTGCATAAGGCAGATTATCGTTGATGCTGACATATTCAATAGCCTGTGAAACAGAAGATGAATCGAAGGCGCCTCGGCGATTAGGCTACAAGCCAAGCGAAGCTGCAATTTCTATTAATGGCAAGTCATGACCCGACAACATGGCTCGTAGGATCAGTCGGTCCTGATGTGGCTCTTCGGTGTCTATTCTTCGGGCTCGAGATGGGTCAGAGCTTTTGAGAATAGGTTCGGTCTGATGAGCTGTCAACTCTCAAGTATGGAGGATTTCGAGGATCGTGGCGTGTGTGGACAGGATATTATTAGGACCACGATTATGAACCACAATCGAAACGCCCCTTGGGCCTTCGCGCTACGGCAAGGGATCCGAGGTCACTGGTTAGTTTCTGGTCTGGGCACAGTGGCACTGGCCTTTTGTTTGTGGAGGGGGTGGCGCCCAAGAACCGCGGCACAACCGGGCAGGACGGGACGTCTCCTGCTGAGGCCGCTAACTGGTCAAAGCACAGTCGAGATCACCCGCCTCAACTCCACTCCTCTAGTGCTGATTCTGAAGCCTGACCAGTGACCGAGCCGGTGAGCCCACCTCAACCACCGACTGGAGGCGAACAAAGATCGATACTGTATGTGACGTAGGTAACATGAGGCTCTCCGTGACCTTTGTGCTTTGGGTCAAGGTCAGGTCCAAGGTCCAATGACCAACAGCAGAGCAAGGGCTGGTATAGTATAGGGACACCTGCCTTACTGTACGAGAGAGCATGTCTTTGTCATCCAAGCTCTATGATGGTCTCACATGGTACTGGTGAAGTTGATACAACACCATCACCAAGCACCACCTCGGGCCTCAAGGAGGGTCAAGACTCAAGTGAAGACAGAGACACATGGACAGTTGCAGAACAAAGCCCTAATGTATGTCTTGTCAGCACGGCACCTGTAGACTACAGGACGCAGCAATTAATCTCCCTGATAAACGTGCTGCGCCGTGTGCTTGTTATGACTGGGCAGGTAATGCCAAATAGGGCTTGAGTTGTTCATGTAGCTAACTCGGCGCATTGTTTGTCTGTTTGTTTAGCAATAGCCTTTTCACTTGCCAGTTGCCACTGGCTGGCTAACCTACGAGTAAAGCAGTCAATCGTAAATAAGTAGGTACTTACCTAGGTATGTATGGTTGGTTGAAGGCAGTGGAAAGGACATGAGAACATGAGATGTTGTCAAGGTGGGAGAGGTGGGATTGTTAAAGAACATCAAACCTTGGAACGTTGACTCCACCACGGGACGCCGGCATGTCGGGTACCACCACGGACCACCTGCACCACTAACCTGCCGCCTACCGCTGCCGCTGCCGCCTGCACTGAGCGCTGTTCGAGGCGTGCGAGGCTTGGCTTGGCTTGGCTTGGCTGCCCGCCGCTGTGTTCTAACCCTTCTCGACCAAGGTGCACCAATCACGAACCGCCAATCTTGTGCCTGCCACCTGGAGACTGCAGGTGGAGAGTTGTCTTGAGCTTCTCCAGCTGTCTTCAACAAAACTCGGCCCACACGTTTCCCGACTCACCAGTCTGCCAGTGTCACCACCACCTGCATCACAGCCTCCTCTTCGCCAACCCAAAACATACCTATACTGTAGATATATCGATATACCCTCGGCTTCAAGACAACCACCTGATCACCTGCTGCCCACACGTATCCCGTCGCGCCAGCAGTGACAGACATTGCCTCCTTCTCCCCCGCGAGCAATGACCTAGCCCGCCCTCCGTTGATGGCGCCGTCTCACTGAACGAGTTGCGAGGTCCGGCGCGCGAGTGACAATGACGACGGATGACAGTCGCATCACCTCCTTTGCGAGCTCCAGCAGCGGACACTCCAACGTCACCTTGACGCCCTCTGTCCCGAACTGCCCCAACCGCTCCGTCTCCGTCTCGTCCCTTTCCGGTCGAGCTACGCCGAGGCCCATCAAGACCGGCGAAAATGGAAGATTCAGGTGCGTCTTTATTCTGTCTTCGCGCCCACACCAGACTCCATGCGTCCTCGCTTCGTAGCCATATGTCTGGAGTAGCAGCTCCTCTCGTGAGTTGAGTTTGAGCTTGGACGAGTGTCTTGCGCTCCACTGGGGGGAAGCGATGCGTGTATTGAGTCTTGAGTCAAGTCAGTGCTCGAACCAAGCTTCTTTCAACTGACACAGGCCTCCCTCTGCCTTGTGTAGTAGGCCATTCAAAGAAGACTCGCAAGTCTCGCCCACGTCGCCCATCGGTTATAGTCGCCTCGCTTTGTCGCCCGCCTCGACCTCCTCTGGCAGCTCCCTGTACGACAACCGCCGCATGAGTGACCTCACCAACTACCGTCGCGACCTTGCCGTGTTGGAGCCCTCTGGCGGCCGCATCCCCCAGATTCATCGAGATCCTCCTCCTGCGCCGAGTCCCAATGCTCAGCAGAACATAGCTCCCTGGACGTCTGCCAACGGTGGCGCCGTTGCCACTGCGCCACCGAGCGCCTTCGCGACGAGCTTCTACAATGATTCGAGCGACAACGTGTCCACCTCCTCCCCGGCCTCTCAACTGTCACCCGCCGTGCGACTGGGTCCGCCGCGGCCAACCCCAAACTCCAACCACGATTCGTCCGATGGCGCGTTCTTCAACGATGACAGACGGCCGTCGGTGGCAAGCGTAATGACGGCAAGCAGTCAAGGCTCTAAGAACAGTAGTGGTAGAGGCGGCATCAAGAAACTGCAAGGCTTTTTCGGGGAGGAGTTCCCAGGTCGTGATGGATCCGAGACGAGCCTTCCACCTCCCGGCCAGGTGAAGGAGCAACGCTCATATTCGTTCGGCCGCCCCCGCCGTGGCAGGAACGACTCGAATGCTACCGATCATACGGGCAGAGAAGCGTCACCGGCATCCTCTCGTCCGCGAACACCTGTACCCTCGAGCGATGTAGTTCCATTCTTATATCAGGAGGCCAATGACATTGCTAAGTACGGGGAGGCTCCCGTGCGCGATATGCTTGCCGGTCCGGACAAAGAACGTTACGCGCAGGAAAATATTGCACAGATACCGCCCAAGACATCGTCCTCGTCGCGCTCCAACCACTCCATCGTACACTTACCTGGCCACCACCACCGCCACAATAAGAGCATTGACGATACCAATTCTTTGCGGCCAGTAGCCAGTCGGGAGGACTCTGTTGCCAGCTTTTACACTATCAAGGATAGGGGTGGTTCTACCACGAACATGGCACGACCCCGAGCGCAGAGTCCCACGCCAAGTACCAACAGTAGGCTGGCTTGGGTCGATGGCCAAACTTCGCCCGGCGGCCACGGGAAGAGAGGCATCCTCGACCGATTGCGGCGACATAAGCACAAAGATGAAGGCCATACTCAAAACCAGAACCAGAATCAGAACAATCGGCTACGAAACATGCCGCCCTCCAGTCGCTCCCTGGCAGCGTCGACAATATCTCGTCAAGACTTAGGCCGTGGAACACCCACGCCCTATGACAAGCCGCTCCCAAGTATAGAACACGCGCCAGAAAGGGAGCCACAACGTCCCACCAATGCTCGGCAAGCAACATTCAACAACAAATTCCCCTTCTCCTCCAAGAAAACACGTCCTCAAGCACGCTATGACGACAACGATGAGCATATTGGCCCGACAGATAGGCACGACCCGGACTCGATGTTTCACCTCGATACCAATCTTAATGATATGGAAGGTATCCTGTCGCATCCACCACCGCTGACACCAATGGACCCCACCATGTTCAAAATATCAGATGTAGAGCTCATGCCTGAACCATTAGCAACCAAGGCGGGAGGGGCGTGGAATGCGCCAGATAGCTGGGCTGTTCGTCGTAACGCCGAGGAGAGAGATGCCCATACTCCGGAAGTTGATGATATCGGAACACCCCCACGTCCCGAGGAGAGGTCGTCACCTCACTGCATTCGTGTCTTCCGCTCTGATGGTACCTTTGCAACTGTCCAGATGCCCCTGAGCTCAACAGTAGCTGAGGTTATGGCGTCAGTGATTAAGAAGACTTTCGTCAATGAAGGGCTCGAGAACTATCATATAGTGCTGAAGAAGCATGATTTGACTCGGGTTTTGGCCGCTGCTGAACGACCGCTTTTGATTCAGAAGAGGCTCCTACAGCAAGTAGGATATGAAGAAAGAGATCGACTGGAAGACATCGGTCGCGAGGACAACAGCTACCTGTGCCGTTTCTTGTTCTTGTCTGCGAGGGACAGCGGCTTTACAGCCAGCCCTCACGATCTTGGACTCGGTGGTAGGGCCGCAAAGTTCAATCATGTCGATCTCTCTGGGCGGAACCTGATCACGATTCCGATTACGCTGTATTCCAAGACAGCGGACATCATCTCCCTGAACCTCTCTCGCAACCTCTCCCTCGATCTTCCGCGGGATTTTGTTACGGCATGCTCCCAACTGCGTGACATCAAATACGCCAACAACGAAGCTCGGAAACTTCCCATCAGCATAGCCAGAGCGGGTAGGCTGACGTACCTCGACGTTTCCAACAATCGCCTAGAAGAGCTTGAGCATGCCGAACTGAGTTGCTTGGGTGGGCTTTTGAAGCTGACCCTAGCCAACAACCGCCTCAGTCGCCTCCCTCAGGATTTCGGTGCTTTCAGGAGCCTCCGTTCACTGAACATGTCCTCGAATTTCCTGGACAAATTCCCGTCTTTCTTATGCAGACTGGAAAGTCTAGTTGATATAGATGTCAGCTTTAACTCCATTGCGAGTCTTCCTGAGGACATCGGGAAGTTCCGAAGTCTGGAGAAGTTTGTCATGACCAACAATCGACTTTCTGGCTCGTTGCCAGCAGCATTCAGTCAGTTAATGAACCTGCGCGAACTGGATCTGAAATACAATGCGCTCACGGCTATTGATATCATGTCCGAGCTTCCAAAGCTAGAGGTTCTGTCGGCCGACCACAACATGATCTCCCAATTCGTTGGCAGCTTTGAGCGAGTGCGAAGCCTGAAATTGAACTCAAATCCAATCACCAAATTCGAGATTGTGAGCCCTGTACCAACACTGAAGATGCTCAACTTGTCGAACGCTCAACTCGCGAGCATTGATGGCTCATTCAACAACATGGTCAATCTAGAAAGACTTGTGCTGGACCGAAATTACTTTGTATCTCTCCCCAACACGATTGGCAACCTAAGGAGATTGGAGCATTTCAGCATCGCTCACAATTCCGTTGGCGAGCTTCCCGCAGAAATCGGTTGTCTGAACGAGCTGAGAGTCTTGGACGTCCGGGGAAACAACATCAGGAAATTGCCTATGGACATATGGTGGGCAAACAAATTGGAAACGCTCAACGCCTCCTCGAATGTCCTCGAGAATTTCCCTAAGCCTGCTTCTCGTCAACCCCAGCCGCCAGGGGATCCCTCGGGCTCATCTGCTACCATCAGCAAGCCAACGGTCGGTCCTCTCTCTCAACCCTCAAGTACCGAGGAGCTTCTGGCAGACGGCTCGCGTCGACCAAGCCACGCCTCAAGCACATTGCTCAGCGTTGGGCCTTCACCTGTCCCTGGCGGTGCAGACAGAAAGGGCTCCGTGGTGTCCGTCTACGGGAAAGGTGGACGCAAAACTTCGGTCGTCTCCAGAAGCACTACTGCAAGTAGCGCTAACGGCACTATGACCCCTGCCGCAACAACCAGAAAAGACTCTGGTCTCTCAAATCGCCTGACTAACACGTTTGCTGGCTCTTTGCGGAATCTGTATCTTGCAGACAACCAGATTGATGACGAAGTATTCGATCAAGTAACGCTTCTCAGCGAATTGCGGGTTCTCAACTTATCCTACAACGACCTCAGCGACATGCCTCAGCGGTGTATCAAGAGCTGGCCTCAGCTGGTCGAGTTATACTTGTCAGGCAACGATCTGACTAGTTTGCCGGTAGATGACCTGGAGGAATACAGTTTGCTTCAGGTGCTATATATCAACAACAACAAATTCACGAATCTTCCAGCCGATATTTCGAGAGCAAAGAAGTTGGCCGTCTTGGATTGCGGAAACAATTCCCTCAAATACAATATTGCCAACGTGCCATACGATTGGAACTGGAATCTGAATCCTAACCTGCGTTTCCTCAACCTGTCAGGCAACAAACGATTGGAGATCAAATCAAACAACACGGGCCCAGGTTCCCAGAGCCGTGAGCAATACACCGACTTCAGCCGTCTGCATAATCTCCGCGTACTAGGATTGATGGACGTCACCCTTACTCAACAACCTACTAGCATCCCAGATCAAAGTGAGGATCGCCGTGTGAGAACCTCGGGCTCGTTGGCCGGGCACCTCCCCTACGGCATGGCAGATACCATGGGCAAGAATGAGCATTTGTCTACCATCGATCTCGTTGTCCCGAGGTTCAACTCGTCGGACTCGGAGACACTGTTGGGCTTGTTTGATGGCCAAGCGCTCTCCAGTGGTGGCTCTAAGGTGGCCAAGTACCTTCACGAAAACTTTGGGCACATCTTCACTGTGGAGCTCAAAGCGCTGAAAACGCGCCAGAACGAAGGACCCATTGATGCGCTCCGCCGTGCATTTCTCGCCCTCAATAAAGACCTTGTCACCGTGGCCATTGAGCATACTGAGAAGAGACCCATGGGGATACATCGTGGTTCCGCGGCACCTGTGGTCTTGAGCAAGGAAGATCTGAACTCGGGGGGTGTTGCAACGATAGCTTATCTCCAAGCCCAGGAACTGTACATTGCCAATGTTGGTGATGCGCAAGCGATGCTCATTCAATCGGATGGCACACACAAGATTCTTACACGCAAGCATGACCCGGCTGAGCCCAACGAACGTCAACGGATACGCGATGCTGGAGGGTGGGTGTCCCGTCAAGGACGATTGAACGATCTGCTAGAAGTCTCTCGTGCCTTTGGTTACGTTGACCTGATGCCTGCTGTGCAGGCAGCGCCTCATATCACTCAGATCTCGATTACTCCGCAGGACGAGACTATTCTGATTGCGACAAAGGAGTTATGGGAATTTCTTACTCCAGGTTTGGTGGTCGATGTGACTCGGTCGGAACGGGGCGACCTGATGCGCGCCGCGCAAAGACTACGCGATCTTGCCATGGCGTACGGTGCGACAGGGAAGATTATGATCATGATGATCAGTGTGCATGACCTCAAGCGACGTCAAGAGCGGTCTGCTCGTCTGCACAGAGGCCAGAGTATGTCGTTATACCCGTCCGGGGTTCCGGACGAGTTCCAGTATCCGGCCAAGAGAGGCAGGAAGCCCAAAGGCGAGGTTCAAGATTCGACGCTGCATAGACTCGAGGCTGAAGTTCCCGCGCCGACCAACAAACCTTCCATCGTGTTCACGGACATCAAGAACTCGACCAACCTATGGGAGATGTACCCTACTGCTATGAGATCCTCAATCAAGCTGCACAATGAGGTCATGCGGCGCCAACTCCGAAGAATCGGGGGATACGAGGTCAAAACAGAAGGTGACGCTTTCATGGTCTCTTTCCCTACTGCGACTGCAGCACTATTGTGGTGCTTCTCCGTCCAGACGCAACTACTCGAGGTCAACTGGCCTTCCGAGGTGCTCAATTCGGTGTCGTGCCAGGAGGTGTATGACGGCGAGAACAACCTCATCTTCAGGGGCCTGTCTGTAAGAATGGGTATTCACTACGGTGAGCCTGTGGCCGAGATCGACCCAGTGACCCGCCGTATGGACTACTTCGGGCCAATGGTCAATAAAGCTTCCCGTATCTCTTCCGTTGCCGATGGCGGACAGATCACAGTGTCGGCCGATTTCATCTCGGAAATCCAACGCTGTCTCGAGACCTACCAAGAGAACGAACGCAATGGGTCTACGGGCTCCGACGCCTTTGATGATGATGCGACGGCATTGTCTATCAGGAAGGAGCTGAAATCGCTCAGCTCACAAGGCTTCGAGGTCAAGGAGATGGGCGAGAAGAAGCTCAAAGGCCTCGAGAATCCCGAGTACATATACTCGCTCTATCCACATGTTCTCGCTGGTCGAATCGATTATCACAATGGGGGCGCCGCAGCAGCCGACGCCGCCGATAAGCCTGCGACACTTGTACCAGGGAGTGAACTCGGGTTCGATCCAGAGATGATATGGTCTCTATGGAAAGTTAGTCTACGCCTGGAGATGCTCTGCAGTTCTCTGGAAGAAATGTCAGGGAGGGGTTTGCAGCCTCCTGAGACCGAGCTGCTGGAGCGTATGAAGCAGCGTGGCGGCGAAGTCACAGAGCGGTTCCTCTTCAACTTCATGGAACACCAAGTGAGCCGCATCGAGGTAAGTCTCCAACTCCATCCTTCTCACGTGGACACCTAGCTAATCGAACATTTAGACCTGCGTATCCTCCCTGGCGATGCGACATATCGCCATGGGCGGAGGCACCATCAATCAACTTGAGGATTTGCGCACACCTATGACAACCATTCTCGACAACCTCGCTATCCAGCTTGCCGAGCTCGAAAGATACAAGTCCAAATACGGACCTTTGGACAGCTCAGAGTCCGAAGGGAGCGACACGGAGCAGGAATAGGTACCATCGACCTGATTTCACCTCCTTTCCATTCCTACCGATTACCTCTATACTATATCGCTTTCGAATCACCTACTCGAATCATCCGTTACCCTACCACCCGACAAAGTTAGAAAAGGACATGACGTTCTGCTATATAATTATTCACCTTGTAATGTGCTACGACAAAAACGACTATTGGGAGGCGAGGTGTTTTGCCTTACTCCGGGAGGTAAGGAGTAGGCACCGGCGTCCTGTCGAACAAGGGTTCTAGGTACAAAAGAGGGGGAAGCGCCTGCTCTAGAACTCTTTTCACGAACATGATTTCTTGTCTTGAATACCAACTCTGGGTGTGGTTGTTGGTTCATAGCGGCCCCGCTGGATGTCGGCCTCGGTTCACTGGGCACATTGTATCACAATCACTGACTGCATAGGCGTTCTTGGATAACAACGGGCCAGGGACTCGCTCTCTGGCGATTCCCCCATTTGCATTTGCTGTTGAACTGATTCACAGCCGACTCGCATTGTTGCCTAGGACGGACGGGCTGAATGGATGGACTGGACGGCTTGACGTGATGGCCACGCTGCAGCTAGTCGACCCCTTAGCAATGAAGGGGTTCCCTCGTGCTAATATGCAATACCTGTCGATGTCACATTCCCACTTGTGATCTTGCTGTTTGATGCGCGGCGCGGAACGTTCGTGTGTCTCCTCGGACCTCGGGTGACAACCCCCTACATGCCACGGTGTCAGCCCGGGTCTTTCCCTAACTACACAGCTAAGATCTACATACGGAGGACTTACATTTGGAAGAGTTAAACCGTGTCTATATCGACGCATTGAGTGCGTCTACCGTTGGTTGCACCAGGCTCTTGAAATTTCACCGTATGCTTCTGCGGACCTGTCCCAATCTGCGAAGGAAGAACCTGAAAGCGGCTCCATATCAGGAGGATGAGCTTCGAACCGACGCCCTGCTTTGACCCCACATCTCTACATTTCACCGTTGAACTAGGGGGAATCTTGAATGTTTTCTACAGACGGGTGCTGGGTTATTGACGGCGCGGGGCGGGTACCGTTATTCGGTTGGTCCGTTTTGGAGGGAACGTCGACGGCAACGGGATTCTGTGATGGGCCATTGATGCTTGAGAGGGTTTAGATGCACGATCGCCATTCATGATCTCAGTCCGTGCGCCTCGATTTGGACTTTTTGTGGAGGAAAAATCTAGTGGAATGAACTGTCTAGAATGAGCAGTGTAATCTAAATAAGCAACCTTCAATGCTTACCCCAGAATCTTCGTTCCCTACAGAAATGGTTGGACGACGAATGGGTGGAGACAAATGGAGGGAGACATGGGAGCTCGAGCAAAAGCATGTGCTGACAGATCTTGGACCTGTTCCCATATGTATATATGTGTGTGTGTCATGTGTCACTCAACTGGTTGAATGGTCGCCGTGTATCTTCTCTCTCCTAGTTCCTACCTGCTAACATATAGTCCTCAATAGCCGGAATCTCATTCAACGGGTATATGGAGACTTTCTTTCTGGGACTGAGTGTACGGCATTGTGTTGTAGGGCCGTTCGGTCATTACTATCTTACGCACTATTGATATCGAGTGAAAATCTACGTGTTCATGAATGGTTGTTCGAATTTCTGGGGACTGAATAGTCCTCGTGGGCGAGCTGGGAAGTCGCTTGCCTTGCCGGTATGTAAACTCTGTTGGTGCAAGATCTCTATTGTCAGATATTTCATGGGGTTCCTGGATCAGAGTGGAGAGAGCCCCAGGGGGGCAGCTGCAGCCGTTATGCCCCTGGAAGCCCCTGAAAGTGGCCACGCGGTCATGGGACACGTCGGCGCTCGGAGGCCCTGTTCTCCCGTGCCTGCGTCGAGATGCCAGGGGCACGGGAATAGGGGCTAGAGCAGCTGCCCTCCGAGGTCCCAGAAGGACACTGTTACATACAAAAAGAACGTGTTCCTGTCCTCCAGTACCCCCCTCCCCTTCTAAGAACAAAAGAAAAAGGGGCAAGCTTTGAGGACTTGAGAAATTTGATTTGCAATGGAGGATTCATTCGTCTTTTCATCTTTTCAACCCATTCAACTCTCCCGCCCCTGTATCTGGTCTCATCATTATACTGTTTGCTAGTTAGTCCGTGAATAATACAAACCCCATGTGTGTGTGACTTCACCTGACTTCGATCCGAGGTAGAACAAAGAGCATTGATAATGGGACCAATACAACTACCAGTTACTCACGGACAATGCGAGTGAGTGGTCCGAATGCTGGCACACGTACTGTCAACTGCTGCAGTTGCGGTCAATGAGGCGGTCAATGGACAATGGGCTGTCCGGGTTGACTGATTGGAATGACTTGCTGGTTTGACCGACTGATGAAGTCTATAAAGCAAACCCTTCGAGGCCTCTCCTGAGATCCCTCCCTATCAGACATCATACGACAGACATCCAGCATCCGACCATCTATCCACTCTGCGACTCCAGCAACGCAACAACACTACGAACATCTCTGACCGTAACTTATCGTTCCCGATAATCACCAGCATCTGCCACCATGCAGACCTTGACCCTCCTGCTTGCCGCCGCCGCTGGCGCGGTCGTCTCTGCGAGTGTAAGTCCCAAGTTAATCGTACTCTCTTTCCTCCAAAGGAAAGGCGAGCTAACATAGGAACCGCAGGCACTCCCCAAGTTCGAGCTCCGGGCCGTCAACGTCAACGACGCCGGCGCTCTGAAAACCTCGAGAGATAATGTGAGTTCCCAACCTGCCTCGCACCCCGGCCCTCCTTGCCCCTACTACAAGCCAGGCCCCTGAACTGACACCGTACTCCCCAGCTGCACTACTACTGCGGGGTGGGCGGCATAGACAAGGCAAACGCGAAATCCTTTGATATCGTCAAGTTCACGGTGCAGAGTTTCAACCCGGATATGCCGGGCAAGCAGGACCCGGCCAAGACGTACACTCTCCCGTCGGGGCCCAGCGCCTGTCAGGCTGTGGGGTGCGCGTCAACCGACGACAAGACCGAGCCCGGGCCCGCTATCATCTGGTGCAATGATGATCCCCACAAGAGCAAGACTATGAAGAGGGACTATATCGTCGGCCAGGCAGATGTGGTGTTAAAGATGTGCACGGGCTCGGACAGCAATGTCCGGGGCCAGGTGTTCGATGATGTCCTTGGCACCAATGTCCTGTTGGCCACGGAAGTGTGCGTTAACGGCGGGGATAAGCGCGAAGTCCAGAGCAAGGAGCTCACCGCCGACTCCAAGTGGGCGCACTTCCCTGACGAGGACGACGACAACGACAACGACAACGACAACGACAACGACAACGACAACGACAACGACAACGACAACGACAACGACAACGACGCCGGCGCTCTCAAGATCGCGAGGGATGACGTGATTGCTTAACCTACCTCCTAGCCTCCCTACCTCCCTATCGTCAGGAAGCATACGGGGAACAAAGGAACCTTTCGTGTAGCTATATAAGGCTTCCACGCCTTCTCAGTACTGTAGCTCCCTGCAGAACAACGAGTCTTTTACCCCCAAATATTATTGGCCTTCTGACACCTGTTTCCCTATTTCCCTGTCCTTTTCCCCTCTCACGCACCAGGCCACTGTACTGATACCGTATTCTCCAGAGGTGCCACTTCTGCGGGGTGGGTGGCGACGGTCACACGACCAAGACAGCCGTCACGGACACCGCGATGAGCATGTCTTCCCTTCCGGCTCACTGATCGTTCACCCTCGAGGCGGGGCCGAAGAACTGCGCGAAGGTTGCGTGCCTCCCCCTGCCGGGCGACAGACACGGCGCCGCCATCTTCTGGTGTAATGATACTCCGAACCCAGTAGCCGCAGTTGCGGGCTACTTCCAAAACCGCGCGAAGGACGTGATGGATTCGTGCGGGAATGGAGATATGGTCCAGGGCCAGGGGATCGATGAGGATGAGGTGCCTGGCACCAATATCATGGTAGGCTCAGCAGTCTGCTGATGTGTAGGCAGAAGGGAGCGGGAGGAGAGATAGCTAGACCGCATCTTTTAAGACGAGTTAAGATATGTAGTATGGTAAAGTGCTTTATATGCCAACAACTTTCTCTTTCTTTGCGTAGTGTTATAAAGAAGAAAGGCTAATAAATGAATAAATAATAATAAGAAATCCTTTTTTATTACTGCTTATACAAGCCGTTAAAGCCGTTATGTACTTATATATGCCGTTAAAGCCCGTATAAAAAATCTTTAAAAGCTTTATTTATAGCTTTATTTAATATAAAATATTTTAAAACGTAAATAAACGTATAAAACAATTCTGAATATATTTATAGTGAGACCGCGGGAGAAGAATGGACTCTCATGAACTCTGGGATCCCCAAGGCTTGATGGTGTGGCAGACGTATCCGCTGAGTTCGCTTTAGGTACCGTGGAGGGAGGCAGTACCTATTGCCTTGGTCAGAGCGATCATGGGTCCTCGAGGACTTTCTATATGAGGATGGACCAGGATCAGTGGACTGTGACTTGAGAAGATGTGGGGGAAGTGATCCTAGGGTAAACCAAACTAGGGAGAGAAGACGGTTCCTGTGTATACCAACACACATGGAAATATCTGTACACTCCGGATTAGGGTAACGCTACATGTAGTGCCCACATAGGGGTGGTTTTCTCTTCATGTAATAAGCACTTTCTAATGAGCAACACCATATTAATAGGGATTTTGTCTGTATGCCAGAATGCTTGTTCTAGACCAAGCAGGATTTGGCCGTTCAAGTTCGGCTACGTTGTTCGTCAATCGGGCGTGCGTATGATGTTTCTTTTGCTATGTGTGATGACTAGAAGAATATATCACTGTCTTGATCGACACCTGTGCGGTGGGCGACGAGAACAAGTGGGTTCGAATCCTGCTACGGCCCCCTTTCCGACCCGGCTTGTGCGAGTCGACAACCAGCACACGACAGTGGAGAGGCCCCATTATCGCAGAGCCCGATAGCCAAGCAGCTTGTCTCCATAACACCCACTCCTGCGAGGCTTTTCCCCTTGTGGTTTCCCTCGCCAGCAGATAACAAACACCTGTTTCATCCACCAATACGACATATATCGAACGGCTACTGGAACGATATGTACACCAGAGGACTGAGGTCCACTGGGTCGCTTTGTCACTGGACAGGAGGTTTTTCTGACGGAATCGTGCTTGGGTATTGACTAAAACCATCTGGACACTCCAGGTTGGTACCGCTACAGCGAGGATGGGCTCGTGCGCGGATCTGAATGTATCTAGACTGACACCTCTACAACCTTGCGATGCAATGGCTCTGGGAGGCGTGGTTTGCCCTGTTGAGGGACTGCACCCACGATAAATAAAATCAATCAATCTTGATCGACACCAAGACCGTGTCACTTTTAGGAGAAAATCAACAAGATACTGATAGGAATTTAGATTCAGCTTCAGATAACTCAATAGCGTTCCAAGATCTCGAGTCTAGGCTACATCCCTCAACCATGAAAGGCTCCCGGACGTATCGCCATATGCGTTTGCCCTCCCATGGAAGCAGTCACTCATGGGAGAACTCTCAATGAATGAATCAAGGCAAGAAAGTGCTCAAAGTGACCTCAGAGGCCATGCTCGTCGGTACTGGCCCAGCCCAACACGCACGAAAGGCAAGGAGTAGTAATACGCCCAGGACACTCACTAATCATCGCCAGCACCACCGAGATAAGGGAACGCAGCCCAATCGGCGTCAGCGGCCTTCTGACCTACAGCACCCACCACGGCGCTGTACATTTCCTCCTTGAAAGAGTGAACAGCGAGCGCCCAAGGTGCCTGACCTTCGTCATCCGGGAGAAGACGACATGCAACATCCAGCTTCCAGCGGGAAATATCTTGCGGGGACTGATGTCAATGCATTAGTATCTCAATATCAGAACATCATGTTGGGGACAGCTTACCGCTTGCGGGCCACGGCGAGGTTTCATGGTGATGAGGCACTTGCGGCGGTCCGCCAACCACTGTTATCGTTCACGATCCTGCGACGATGCATGTTATACCAGCGTTGTAATCCCGTTTCGGCTGTTCAACATACAGTTCTTGACTTGGGGGAGCCAGAGCCGCCCTGGACGGCCCGATTGGACTTCTCGGACTCCTTGAAAGCCTCTCCGAGGCTGAAGACAAGGCCGCAGACCTTTTGGCGGAAGGCGAGAGGGTAGTTGAACAGGGCATTGCCGGAGGCATCACCAACCGGATCTCCAGCTGCATCGACGGTGCGTTCGAGGCAGAATTCGGCGAAGTTGACCATGATCGCCATGTTCATCCAGTCTCCTGTCATGGCTTTTCCCGGCTAGATTACGGATTGTCAGGCCTGATCTGAGGAGAAGTCTAACCGCCAAAAGGCCAGAATGCAATATGACATACCTTGTTGCAAGACTTCTTCGTGGCGCGGCAGTGGTCGCACTTGCCGGCACCGATCTGGCCGAACTGGCAGCGCACCTGGACAGGTTCCCCGGAGCTCCAGTCATGGGTGTTCCATGCATGACGGAAGCATCTCATGCAAGACGTATCGGCGAAGCGAGGTGTTGCAGACTTTCCTTGTGCAGCCATTTTGCTGGTGTCGGGATAGGGGCGGGGTTATGGTAGATGGGTGGTTTGGTGTGTGAAGAAGTAGAGAATCAAGGCGTTTGCACACGTGTAAGCCGTAGCCTGTGAGAGCCAAGTTGACGTGAATACGACCCCGAGGAGGAATTGAAGGGGTCGGATCTAGGCCAGTTGTTTCATGAGAAGAGAGGCGGATGAAGGCGTTCTGTCCCAACTGGTACACACAAGTCGTAGTGGGAAGCCAAGTTGAGGGAGAAACCGAGGGGATGAGAGAGGAGGATGGACGGGATCAGAAGCCATGAAACGGGTCATCAGGCAACCTCGAGGACCAGACATTTGAAATGGAACGGCCAAGCTGGGGAGCTCTTGCTCAACAGACCGTACCTTCCCAACTTGCAACCAGACTAAGCATCGTCACGTCACGAGCCATCTCGAAGTCGAGTACGAGGAAGGCACGAATGGTATCGACAGGTACCTAGAGGACGACCAAGAGACAGTTGAAGAAAGCACCACCTGCCTACACATTAAGTGAAACAAGGGACAAACAATGAAGGCAGCCTGAAGCACAGAACCCCAAAAAGCGAATGAAACACACCAACACGCCCAAGATCTGAACACAACACCTCCAGCATACTAACCATCAAAGAGCCTATGACAAAAAAAATATTTAGTGTAATTGCACCCACGGGGATTTGCACCCCGGTCTCTACCTTGGGAGGGAAGTGAGTTAACTACTACTCCATAGGTGCTTCGATGGGAAGAAACCGGTTTCTCGGGCATCATATGTGCTCTTGGGTCTCGTGGGTCTGGCTGTTTGTTTGCCTGTTTGCCCTCCTGCCTAAGTGCCTGTTTGCCTGCCTTAAAGCCCAAGCTTGCCTCTCATCCATCCGAACCTGGGTCAGGTAAGGCAGTGTGTCATGTGGTGTGATATTATCGCGTGGTGCTCATCACCGCCATTCTGGCCCCTACCTTACTTCCATATCGTGACCTACCTACCAACCCATGCATCCTCGCTGTGATACTGGTACCCGTGATACTGGTACGCGGGTAACCAACGGACGGTCTCTAATCTGCGGTACACTACTGCCACACCTGCATGGAGGTGGTGCATATCGACGTAGGTAGCCTAGGCAGGCAGCCTTCCCTTCATCCCCTTCAGCCAGCACGACCTGCGGGCGAGATACATACACTTGCTACCTAGGAGTTATGCAACTACACGCGCGGGTACTTCGAAGACTCGACCACGTACAGGCCTAGGAGGCAGGCCTGTACAGCCACTGGCCAATGTCGGCCAATATGATCAACCACAAGTCACATGCACGAGCGAAGTACAGTAGCAACGGACTGTAAATAGCAGGGCAGGTCTCTTTCTTGCTTCACCTGTTTCTTGATTCGACTCAAATGACGATTGGATATCCATATAGCTAGCTAATCAGATCGCTGGGCAGCAAGGGGTATATCTCGACATATGACAATACCGCTCGAATCAGAACAAAATGTGATCTCAGACAGACCGACCACCTACCAGCTGTCACTGTGGATCCAGCACACCAAAACACCATTACCTCTCCCGCTTCCTCTCAGGCTGTCAGCCTTGCCACTTCACACAGACATACAGACATTGTTGAAACCGACCCACCGCCCAGAGAACCCCGACGCTGAAGAAACGCATTCCAAAGGGTATATATGCAGTGCAATCCAAAGAGCACAGTACATTTCAAACAATTATCATATCCGGACGTCCACCAAACAGAATTTCAGGGTTCGACCAGGCCAGGGAAGCACTCGGCCGTGCTTGCTTACATGCCGGCAAGCTTTTTCCACCAGCTACTTCGAGGTGTCGTGTCCATGAAGACAGACTCTCGTTGCCCCTTTTCACCACTGCCATCAGAGCCACCACCGCGACGCTCTCGCCGCTCCCGCTCCTCGCGACGTGCTCGGCGTCGTCGCTGGTCGTCTTCCTCACCATCGCCGTCACCGTACTTCGCACGGCGACGCGCACGACGGTCAGCGCGGCGTGCTTCCTCGTCATCCGTGGCGGGAGGCGCGTCGGTAACGGGCCCATCCTCAGGGGGCGGGCCGGCGTCCGAGGTCTCCTTCACCCACGAGTCGGTGCCCGAGTGGGGCCATGCTGGTCTCTTCTTCTTGCCCTCGTTTTCTGGGCGTCGCGAAGATCGTTCTTGGGGATATACGTAGCCATCCGCGGGCATGGATCGTCGACGATTGGCCTTCTCCTCAGCCCGTCTAGCTTCGCGTCTTCGTCTTCGCTCTTCATCGTCCTCGGATGCATCAACCTGACGCGAGCGCCGTCGATCCGCGCGAGCAACCCGACGCGCTTCCGCTTCTGCATCCTCGGCACCACTACCACCACCACCACCAGCTTCTTTACCGAGCTTGCGGAGGCGACGTCGTTCTGCCCTCTCGGCTTCCTTTGCATCGACCTCTTCTGCAGCGCGGCGCTCGGCTTCGCGTTCGCGAGCGACCCTGCGTTCAGCGCGTCTGGCCTCTCGATCCTCTTGCCGGCGAGCTTCCTCTTCCTCCTCTTGACGCTTGCGCTTCTCACGCTTACTATCCTCTTTCGCAAGTCGGGCCTCATTGGTCGCCTTTTCCTCGGCCCTCTTTGCCCGGCGAGCAGCGCGCCGAGCTTCGCGATCTGCATCCCCATCCGCATCAACGCTGCCACCGTCTCGAGAACGCTTGGCCCTCTTGTCAGGTCTAGCCTCATCATCCGTGGTGTGGTATGTGTTGCGACGACGGGGTTCGGGACGGAGATCGGAACGAGGAGTCGAAGACATGATGCCGCCGAATAGTCCAGACAGACCCTTCTTAGCGCTGGAGCTCGACCGCTTCAGGGGTGATGAGTCGGCGGGACCACCTGCATCAACCATGACAATGTCGTCATCTGGCTTGGCCTGTTATGGGTTAGCAAAGTCCCGAAATTGTGTGGTGGCACGTTCTTACCTTTGATCGCTTGCGAGCCGACTTGTCGGGGCTCGAGTTGACATCAACCATGACGATGTCATCATCCGTGGCAGGACGCGCCTTTGAGCTTTTGCGACCGCGGCTCTTGCCAACCCCGAGGATCTTGGCTGCCTTGGCCGACATCTTGGGCGTCTCTTCGGGCGGTGGTGACACGAGTCCGCCGTTCATATCCAGAGAATGGCGACGCGACGATTTGCCTGTGCCACTTCGCTTGTCCCGAGTTGACATGGAACGCGACAGCGGAGGTGTGCTCTGGAACAAGCTGTTAATGCGCGGCCTCGGAGTTGCTGCAGCCTTCTTCTCGGACCGCTCGGCCTTGTCCGAGGCTGAACCCCTGGAAGACACTTTCTCCTCTTTCTCTTTCTTGGCCTTCTTGTCCTCGGACTTGGACTTGGACGGCTTCTTCTCATCCATGCGCGGAGTTGCTGACCACGCGCCCCATGATGAACCTGCGTCGCGATTGATCTTCGGCCGTTCTTTCTTGGAGGATCTGGCCTCAGGGGGTGGTGTCGGCGGCGCGGGTGGGGCGTCGGGGACGGCGGGAGGTGGTGGAGGAGCCGCGGGGGGGACAGCGTCTTCCTTGGACTTGCTCTTCTTGCTCTTTCTGGGCTTCTTCTCTACCGGCGCCATGTCAATGATCTCGACGATCTCGTCTTCATCCTCGTCAATTGGGAAGCTGCCAGGGAGGGTGTCCCTGTCTTTCTGAGAGGACTTGTACTTCTTCTTATCCTCGCCGGATAGTGGCGCGCTAGGCGCAGGCGGCGGCGGTGGTGGTGCAGGTAGCGCATCGATGAGATCGGCGTGGTCCTCTTCCTTGGCTGACTCAAACTTCCTGAGCTTTTCCGACAGTTTGCTTGCTTTCTTACTCTTCTTGGGTGGCATGAAGTCGTCCTGATAGGCCGGAGCGGCCATGGAAGAGGGCGGCGTGTCCTCGTCGACGGTGGCATCTTCGAGAACCTGGGTTGGATGACTCAGCACATCTAATCTCCGGTTGCTTTCATGACCGGCTGGGGTCTGGGGCTAGGGGCTACTTACCGCTTCAGGAAATGAGCTCTTGGGTTTGGACTTGGCACCCCAGAATGCGAATGGGTCATCGTCCTTGGACTTCTCTCTCTTCGGTGGCGCTAAGCCTGACAAGATCTCCTCAGCCTGCTCAGCAGTCAGGTCCACATTGTCGAGGTCCATGTCGTCGGCCTTGTCTTCATCCTTGTCCTTCTTCTTGTCCTTGCTGCTGGACTTCGATTTCTTGTCGTCTGACTTGGAGCTCTTCTTGGATTTCTTCTTGGCAGCTGCTTCGGCCTCCTCCCGCTCGCGCTCGGCTTGTTCTTCTGCCTCCCGTGCAGCCTGGGCCGCTTCTTCAGCTTCACGAGCGGCTTGTTCCTCGGCGTCACGTGCAGCCTGTTCCTCAGCCTCACGTGCAGCCTGTTCTTCGGCTTCGATTGCAGCTTGTGCAGCTCCATCGTCGTCTCCGTTGAGAGCTTTCTCCGCAGCGCGAGTGTCAGCCTTCTCGGTCAGTTCGTCAAATCGCTTTTGGTCCTTTTTAGTCAGCTTCTTCTTTCTGGCCTTGGTTGTAAGTGCGGCAAGTTCATCTTCCTCGGCAGCAATCTCAGCTTCGAGTGCCTCGGCGGCAGCTCCCTGTTCGGCCTCCAACGCTTCGGCGGCAGCCGTCTGTTCGGCCTCCAAAGCTTCAGCGGCAGCCTGTTCCTCAGCCTCCCGCTGCGCTTGCTCTTCGGCTTCTTTGGCCGCATGTTCGTCCGCGCGTTGGTTTGCATTCGCCGTCAGCTCGTCGAATCGCTTCTGGTCCTTCTTGGGGAGCTTCTTCTTTTTGCCCTTGGCGGTGAGACCAGCGAGTTCATCCTCTTCGGCAGCAATCTCCGCAGCAAGTGCTTCAGCGGCCGCGGCGTCCCCCTCTTCAGCTTTCGCTTCGTCCCAGACGTTGTCCTCCAATTCTTGGCCAGGCTCACTCATGTCCAAGGAAGGTGGGGTCGGGGCTGGAGGCGGTGACTTCTTCTTGTCCTTCTTTGAGCTGCCCCAAGCCCAGTCATCATCGTCGACTTTGCTGCCCTTGCTTTCTTCCACAGAGTCGGGTTGCATTCCATCCAGGTGGGAGCCATTCTCGATCTCGACTGGCGCATTCTTGCTTCCCTTCTTCTTCTTGTCCTTTTTGGAAGTGCTAAGGGCCCAGATGTCGTCTGTCTTGGGTTCCTCGATCGAGTCTGGGATGAGACTGCCGTCAGCATTCTTCTTCGTTTTCTTGTCCTTTTTGGTAGTGGTGAAGGTGTTCCAGAAGTCGTCACCACCACCAGTGTCGCCGGCTTCAGGGACCGCAGGTGGTGCAGGCTCAGGTTCAGGCTCCTTGTCCAATTCGACCAGTGCTGTCGACGTCTTACCCTTCTTCTTTTTGTCCTTCTTGCCAAAACTCGCCCAGTCGTCGCCATTATCCTCTGGCAGAGGCTCAGGAGCAGGCTCAGGCTCAGGCTCAGGCGGAGGCTCTTCTTTGGGTTTCTTGGACTTCTTGCTGGCCCCCCAAAAGCTCCAGGCACTGCTCGGCTCTTCTGCAGGAGCCTCTGGTTCCGGTTCCGGTTCGGGCTCTGGTTCCGGTGCAGGTTCTGGGTCCTTTGGTGGTTCCTCGTCGAAAACACCCTTTTTCTTCTTTTTCTTGTCCTTTTTAGATGTGCCCAAAGTATTCCAAAAATCGTCCTCTTCCTTCTTGTCCTCTGCAGGCGCAGGCGCTGGCGGTTCTGGCTCCTTAGGGGGTTCCTCGATGATAGCGGCTTTGCCCTTCTTCTTCTTATCCTTCTTGGAAGTACTGAAGCCCCATATGTCGTCATCGTTTTGAGCTGGGGGTTCAGGCGCAGGCTCGGGAATAGGTTCAGGCTCAGGCTCAGGTTCAGGCTCTGGGTCTTTGGGGGGGTCTTCCACGGCTCCCTTCTTCTTCTTTTTCTTGTCTTTCTTCGAAGTGCTGAACGAACCCCAAGTATCCTCCTCTACAGGCTTCTCGGGCTCAGGTGCAGGTTCGGGCTCTGGTAGGGGCTCCGGATCTTTGGGTGGCTCTTCCTCGACGACGCCCTTCTTCTTCTTTTTCTTGTCCTTCTTAGAAGTGCTGAACGAACCCCAAGTATCATCCTCTACAGGCTTCTCGGGCTCAGGTGCAGGTTCGGGCTCTGGTAGGGGCTCCGGATCTTTGGGTGGCTCTTCCTCGACGACGCCCTTCTTCTTCTTTTTCTTGTCCTTCTTAGAAGTGCTGAACGAACCCCAAGTATCATCCTCTACAGGCTGCTCTTCCTTGATAGGTTCTGGTTCAGGCTCTGGTTCAGGCTCAGGTATCGGCTCAGGTTCTGGCTCGTTGGGAGGGTCAGGCTCAAGCACACCCCCCTTCTTCTTCTTCTTTTTATCCTTTTTTGAGGCACCGAATGACCAGGGATCTTCCTCCACCTTCTTTTCGGGTTCTGGCTCAGGAACAGGTTCAGGCTCGGGCTTAGGCTCAGGTTCCTTGGCAGGCTCATCGTCATCAAAAATGCCTTTCTTCTTCTTCTTCTTGTCCTTCTTCGAAGTTGTTCCCCAGGTGCCCAAATCATCCTCCTCCTTCTTCTCAGGTTCCGGTGCTGGTTCTAGCTCGGGTTCTGGTTCCTTGACCTCCTCGACGATCTTGCCTTTCTTGCCCTTCTTCTTAGTCGTGGTGCCCCAATTCATCCAGTCGTCTCCTTCTTTCTTCTCGGGCTCGGGCTCGGGGACAGGTTCCGGTTCCGGCTGCGGTTCCGGTTCCGGTTCAGGCTCAACAACCTTTCCCTTCTTCTTCTTATCCTTCTTGGAAGCGGAGAAGCCACCCCAGAAGTCGTCAGCCTCAGGCACGGGATCGGGCGCTGGTGGGTCAGGCTCCTTGACTTCCTCAATCCCGCCCTTCTTTTTCTTCTTGTCCTTCTTGGTGCCCCATCCATCGCCCCAGGGGTCTTCCTCTTTGACAGGCTCGGGCTCGGGCTCAGGCTCAGGCTCGGGTTCCTGGGGCTTCTCGGGTTCCGGCTCAGGGTCCCAGATACTATTCTTCTTCTTCTTCTTGTCCTTCTTGGTGGCTGTTGTGCCCCAGCCGCCGCCCCAGGAGTCGTCGGCGGCGGGGGCGGCGGGCGCGCCTAAATCCTGACTTTCGGCAAGCGGGTCTTTCTTCTCCTCTTCGGGTTCGGGGTCCCAGATGCTGTTCTTCTTCTTCTTCTTATCCTTCTTGGCGACGGAGCTGAAGCCGAAGCCGAAGTCGTCCTTCTTTTCCTCGATGTTTTCCTGGGTAACGGTCGGCTCTTCAGCCTTCTCTTCCTCGACGTCGTCAAAGCCACCGAAGCTGAAAGTGGTCTTGCCCTTCTTCTTGGGTTTGGGCCTGTTGATGCTCCACGGGTTGTCTTCAGCTTCATCTTTCTTGTCCTCCTTGTCTTCGGTCTTGTCAGCTGCCTTGGTACCAGACCAGTCCCACGTTGTGGACGTTGTGCCAGTATTCCAGCTGGATCCCCACGTACTAAACGAATTGGTCTTTGTGTCGGCCGCATTGCCTCCAAAACTGAGATCGAGCGCAGGGTCATCTAGTTTGATCTCGTGGAATGCGTCGAACTTAGTTGAAGTCCCCGATGGCTCAGCGGTGTCCTCGGCCTGCGCCTGGTTTTTCCCCTTCTTCTTTTTCTTGCCGACAGCTTCGAAAACGCCCCAGTCGTCGTCCGGCTTTGCGTCACCAGCATCGTCCTTCTTGTCCTCACCGTCCCCGTTGCCGCCGGCATCTCCACCGGCCTGGCCGGCATCTCCGCCATTTTGGTCACCTCCGCCGCCGCCGCCGCCGCCGTCGCCACCACCTTCACCACCTTCGTCTTTCTTCTCAGGTTCATCCCAGCTGAAGGCGGTCGCCTTCTTCTTCTTCTTGGCATGCTGGACGAAACCATCTTCCGAGTAGAGATCGAAGTAGAACTCCTGGGCAGGGTCATTAAGCATCGAATCTTTCCGCCGTTCTCGTCGCGGTGGAACATCGGCCGGCGGCGGTGGAGGACAAGATCCGGTGTCTGACGGAACGTGGCTCCGACGATTAGCAGACTCACCCGTTTGGGCGGGATCGATGGGAAGGTCGGATATGGCTGAGTCGTCTTCGCATGGTCTCGGCAATAGTCGTCGTGATCGTTTCGGTGTTGGATCGGGTGTTACTAAAGGTTTGGATACGACATAGGGGTGCAGTTTAGATCGCTGGTGTTCCTGTCCAGATCAACCATAATTAGCGTCCAGTTGCGCAACCACGTTTCCAGCAAGTACACGCAGTATAATTTAGCCAACGCCTTTTCTTATTATCTACCCGTGAGCACCATTGGCGGTCTGCGAGGTGCGCCTGGTGGGTTGCGCCGAGCGTGCTGTACCGTTTCGGAGTGCGAATCCGGGGGTTTGCAAGAGTGACAATTACGAAAGCAGCCTGGGAGAGAAACTTGCGAAACTGCTCACGTGTCTTGATGTCCTCAGAACCCACGCCCTCGCGATGAGGTCTAGTCTCGTGGGCAGGTCGAAGTCACCCCACAGAGTCGTTGGGCTGGTCGCAATAGTGGTCGTGAAAGGCCGGATCGTTAGCGACCCAGATTCGCTTCTTGTCCCGCTTGCGCAGAATTCCATAACTGCGGCCACAGCCATATTGAGAGTTGGAGCCCGACTGATCACAAAGGGGTATGAGAATCATGGACGCTGCGGGATCGTCTCGGACGGGATTTTGGAAGACGGTTCGTTCGAGATTTGGGGGGAGCGAGTCGAGGACAAAGTTGTCGGTCAGTTTGTCCCAGAACCTGGCCACAACCTGGGGGACGATTCCAATTATAGGTATAAGACGACTTCAAATTGGTATAGTGTCTGGAAGAGGTTGCACCGGGTGTTGGATCGATAAGGCGAAGAGCAGGGGAAATGGCAGTTTCGTCTGAAGAGCTGTAAGTGGATGATCCTATCGTAGTTCTCTGCCCTCCTATTCAATGTCTTCAATTCGAAATATGCAGTGTCGCCCGCTGTCCAATAGCAGAATCAAGGGAGAAATAAGCAGCAGGGGGATCAGCTTTATGGTGACAGCCAATAAAGTGAGCCACAGTGTTGAGGTGCGCGTACGCGATGCCGTGTACACCTACACCGCAAGACGCCGTCAACGAAGGTGTGACGGTATATACCTGCTTTGATATCTCTGACCAGCCGTGTCCCTCTCTCGCTCTGCTTCAGGCAAAGAGTACAAGCTACGAGCGCACGCAACGGGCGACAGGTAGGGTGTATTGGGGTTATGTATGGACGGGCAGACGGGGTGTGTTCTGCAGGGTCATATGTACAATGACAAGAGGTGCGTCTGAGTGGACGGAGGCGAGGGAGGCACGAGAGGAGGCAAGAGGGTGTGCATTGATAGAGAAAATTGGCGGTTTGCTGGATGGCTGGTCGAGGAAGTCATTGGTCCGCCAGTGATGTGACCGCTGATCAGTTGTGTGCCAGTGCAGAGACGGGATCCACCCTGCTTTACCGCAACACCCACGGCCCACCCCATGATGACCCCCTCCCACCTGCCCACTTGCTTTCCCACCCAACTGTCAGTCCAGCGGCGGGGGCCAAACGCCCAACGCCCAACGACCACCTCTCTTTCCACCCCTCCCCTCACCTTCCTCCCACCCCGTTCCTCACCCTCCAGACTCTCGTTCCGAGGTTCCTAAACGAACAACGGGAACATGGGATACATGATGAGATATCCCAGCATCTCATCACTGGGTGACAGCGTCAACACCGATATCCCTATCCACTTCAGGCCGTTCTGCTGACATTCCATTCTTCCATGCGTATGTTGGTGGTGAGTTCTCGACCCCAACTTGCCCAAGTCCAGACTTAGCGGGCGCCACTGCCGGGGCACATGCTTGACATGTCACTGCTCAAGACCACATGAGGATGACACCTCCATGAGAATCAGCACCGTGATGGGACGAAGAGATGGCATTGTAAAACAGGCGAACCAAGCGAAAGGTAATCCACGGACATCATCGTCGTCGCCACCTGCGACACACAAGTTACCTGTTGTAGATTTCAACCCTGCCAGCCTCTTGGGACGCCAACTTTTTGCTATCTTCCCCCTCCTTCGCTTTTTCGGACCCCTCCTTTCCTTTCCGGCCTTCATCTCCGTGTATTCTATCAGCCATTTGTGTATCCAGCCCCTGCTTGTACCCTTATCTGGCAGGTCTGTGCCGTGTGAACTTGTTTCAACTTTCCAATGAGACACTGGCAGCCTCGGGAATGAAAGACACGCCGCTGCCTCTCGTCCGGGCGCAATCTGCCCTTTGCAGGTCCGAATTTCGAATGTATCGACGGCATATGTCGATATGCTAGATTTGCGCGTCAGAGGGATGCGAGTCTACCGCGCCGGTATACGACGCGACTCTCAGGCGTCCAATGACCGATCCTCACCTCACGCGCAGCAGGCGGCTCAGTTCCTCGATTGGCTGGCTGCTGCCTTTCAGTCTGGCTGCAGCATGACAACAGGTAGCGATACATGATGCTACATGATGGATGGGCAGCCATGCGCTTGTTAGCTTGTATCTGCGCCTTGTCAGGCTTGTCCGCCGCGACATCGTCCTTCCACGTCGTCGGGACCCATCTGCTAACGCATGCTAGATGCATCTGGTGCATCTCGTAACCATGCCGTTGTAATAGAAATCCCCATGAGAGAAACCCCCTCTTCCATGTCGGCCATACTGCTGCCTTGGAACCCCCCAGCTTCCCGCGACGGGTGCTCTCGCAGTCTGCATCGGCAGCTAATGTAAGGTATCCTAGAGACACTCCCGTCCTATTTGAGAGCAACTGCAACCCTGGAAACAGCAGTCTGCAAAAGCGCCGCCCGCCGTGATGGGGCTGAGTCCAGTGACACGGCGCACTGCCATGCGCGATCCCACCGACTGCACCCAAAGCGGCATCGCGAGGTCTCACCGCTCAAACGTACATGGAAACATCCAGGCGAGTTGCAGCGCAAAAGTGGGCAACGCTCGCGAAAAACCAAACCGCTTCAACTTGACTGGCCCGCCGAAGACAGAATGTTTTGAAGCAGCAGCACGGCATTCATCCGGTCGAGGATCTGGTTGCCCATGGGATATCGTTGGGGCATGATGGGCGTGCGGATATGGCTTCTGCCCAACTGGGCACCGGCTGTCTAGACTGGAATTTCTTCCTCGGCTATGGCGATGGCATTCGTCACCGGGGAATGGACTAGCAGCCTGCGAGGGCATTGTCACTTCTATGACCATGTTTGACAGAACGTGCGCCCTTGTTATACCACTAATAAGCTGGTACAACTGCACACAAGATACACCCGTCGTCGACAAGCGGTCAAGCCCGAAATGGAAACAGAAATATCCACACTGAATGCTAGTTTCAGCATTATCGTATCAACCCGTCGTCTCATTCTAACATCTGACAGATTTGAATTTCTCGGGCCGCAGGCCTCGGTGATGCACATGGGACTCCATCGGATACACTACAGTATGCACATGTTCCTTGCATGTTAAGCTTCGTCAGTACGGCAGTGCTGTGCAGCCTTATGACGGTCTTGATCTATATATGTCATCGTCTTGGCCGCTCGTTCAAAATCGAGCCTCCGAATACCTACGTATGCACATAACAGAAGAGAGTCAACGTGTCCTGTCGTGCTGATAGAACCCGAAACCCAGAGCAGCGTACGAAGTGCCTACATGTGCATGATAACGCCCAACCTCGAGCCTCCCAGCGAGCTACCACGATGACTGAGCGAGATGCTGGGAGGCCCTGCTGATTCCCGGGTGCGTAATCCAGCGAGTGTTCATTCCTGTTCGTCCAGCGCCTCATTGCATTCCTCATCCGCATTCCTGTTCTGCTCCCGCGGCACGAAGACATAGTCGACTCTGCCCAGCTCTTTGACTCGATCATCCAGATCAGAAGCTTCCTGGATGAGATCGCGATTTGCGACGTCGTTTCCCCGAGCGTTAACCCAGCCATTTTGGGACCACTTGTAGATCCAATCCGTCATGCAGCCGACGGCGTATCTCGAGTCGGAATGTATCGTCACTTGCAATCGGGGATACCCATTAAGGTCGTCGTACCTTTCCAAGGCCCATTCAAGAGCGATGATGATGGCAACGATCTCCGCTCGCTGGTTGGTGGGTGTGACAGGCCAGCGATCTAGATGGCGCGTCTTAGACCAGTAGCTACCGCTTCTCGCCATCAGACATGCAGCTGCGGGTCCGGTGGCATTCGTATAGCCATTGTTTCGGCATCCACCATCGACGTAGAATTCCATGGTGTAGGGTATGATGGCGAACGCGGCCTGAGAAGGTCCACGGTAGTTCTTCTTTGATGCGTACCACGATCAGGAGCTGCTGGCTTAGGAGTCAGTTCGTCTCATTTCTTGCTCATATTGGGGTTGTGGGCACCTGTTCGTACGCTGACGCGTATTGTGCACCCCCTACCAACTTATTCCATCCAAAACCGCCCAGCGAGTGCTTTGAATGAAGGAGAGACCGTACTGCATGCGTTGAACTAGTCAGGAAGTTGGCTATGGGATAGGTGGTCAACATAGAGGATATTTAGGGTTTCTTTCTTTGTCACCGCAATCGCATGGGAAACCCCACTGGCTAGGAGCACTTGTTAGTCCGAGGGCGGGTGAGACACGGGTGCTCACTCAGGAGGGGCGCCGCCTCTAACAAAAAAACTCGACGAAGGTTAAGGCCAAATGCTTAAAATGCCCTCAAGAAATCAGTAGGATAAGCCACTCAAACGTTGAAATTACATAATCCTTCACTTTGGAGCTCTGATAGGAGCCAGGCGACGACGCCGCTGCAATAAACACCCTCCGCCTGGCGGCGCGGACGGACCACTATTTGTTGCTTTGCTTCTTATCAGAGGAGAACCCAGAGATATGGCAGCCGCATCACCGTGGCTTGGAGGTCGGTGAGGGCTGTCAGTCTCGTGGCATTCCTGGTGAGTCGGTACTCAAGATACAAGGCAAGGAGTCTGAACTGGAGATGATCTGCGCTTAGAATTCAAGCTCGAAAGCGTCATTTGCCATATTCCCCGAGAGTCGGAACTGAAAGGGGAAGGAAGGAAGAAAGGAGCCATATCTTGGCAGACGTTACACCACCACCGTGCTGGTCAGGCACGAACGACCCTGCTGCCATGGGCTCCGGTGCGTTTCGAGACCTGATCACGACCGCGCGGCCGAATTACGGGAAATACAGAGGTGAATCACACGGACGGGCCGAGACAATAATCAACTTGTTGTATTGATCGGCTGGATGGGTAAAACAGGCCACAGCTTTGATCCCCGAAGATCTTCATGAGCCAGGATCCGAGGGGGCTCGCGACGCCAGCGATCTCGAGGTAGTACGTCGTGTAGATGTCTACCTGCCTTTACAGTCTGGGATCGGCCTGGTCGTCAAGTCGAAATCTGGCAGATGAGGCCAGAGGTAGAATAGATCTCAGGCCAGCGACCATTATCTGGCTGAACGTGGATCTGGCAGACCCTATATTCATGGCTACGCATGCTTTGGATGCCGCTCAACTCGGGTAAGCAGAAAACTTGTGGACGCCGCCGACTAGATCACGGCCTGCCTAGGTGCTCATCTCTCAAAATGCTGCCGTTTCAGAAGGGCCTCGTGCGGGCGTTTTTTATACGTTCGAGGGCAGTTGGGATGGTCAGCTGCTCCCAGTGATCTGTATATGTCTCCAAGGATACTCCTAACCTCATCTAAACGTGTCACCAGGAGTTGGCTAGCTCGTCAGACCACGGTTGGTATATATACGCCTATCGTATGAAGGGCTCGCCTGTCAGCTTCCTCGCTTGCCACCCTCCACCGTCTTTCTTTGCAGGGGCAACTTGCCTACGAGTCATGGCCTCGGACCAGTCCAGACACAAGATGAACGACACGAACAGGCGAATATCTCGCAGCCAAAATCAAGGACATGATCGAAGCTTGCAACTCAGAGCAGCAGCTGCGCGACCTGGGGCATCACGATCTGGGAGCGGGGCGTCGTGTTCCTCGGCGCACCGCATGACGACCTCTCTATCGAGGAGCAGAAGCACGTCACCGACCTGCTGGGGAAACTCACCGGGCGACTGGAGGAGAAGGGACTGCATGGGAATCTGCTGTACCATGATCCGAATGTCATCTCGATGGCGGATTGGGCGTGTGATCCGCATATGTATGTCTGAGCCCTTGCTAATGCTATGAAGGTGGATGGGAGCTAGCTGATGCGGTTGGTGGGCGAACCTACGCTAACAACTCCAAGGCTATGGAAAAAGATACACAAGACCATGCATCGTGGTCCGAACGAGGCTCGTGAGCCTCGAGACGTTTCGGGGGAATGGCATAGTGACACTATGTCCAGTGCTTAGATTATGTTGGTGGATGCCTGGCTATGCTCATGATCAGTCTGGGCGTAAAGCCCGAATTTAATTGCTACGCCCCACGCTCTTCATGATCGAGATGAGATCATCCATCCTCGTCTCATACTTCTCTCTCTGAACCCTGAGCTCCTGTTCATGCTCAGCCTTCAGCGTGTTGATCTGTGTCTGGTGCCTCTCCTGCTCGGCCTTGAGCACGTCCCGAAACTCGGCTTCCATAGCTTGTATCGTCTGTCTCGTCTCCTTGACCCAGTCGAGCTCCTGACTACCGTCGCCCGCCTGCGTCTTGGCCTGCGTCGTCTTGGCCTTCTTCTCGGGCAGCACGGCCGGTATGGAGGCATCCGAGTCCGAGTCGGACGTTTCAAATGAATTATCGGAAGACGATGGCCCAGCCAGCCTCATGGGCACGAGGACGCCATTGATGTGGCTATGTGTGTTCACGCCTTGCTCGTGGTCCAGCTGCTCTTCGCCCGTCCACATCGGACTGCATGGGTGGCCCCTCTGGATGCAGCGTTCGCACTTGGCCGGCCAGATGCGGTCGTGGGGAGTACACTGCCAGCATTTAGACCCCGCAAGCGTTTACCGGTACAACAGGTGAATGGACTGGGCAGTGAACTTACCGGTTGGTGGCACCTCCGGCACGAGTCGCACTTCTTCTTGTTCTACCCGTGCGGCGTATATCGGCCGGGCATGAGATGATTCGCCGGCGTGCCGTATTGTGGCTCCGGAAGAAGCACGCATTTGTCGCCACGAGACATACATCGGTCGCAGCCCATGCCGCCGGTTTTGCTGCCCCACGTGAACTATCAAGATATTAGCCTCAGTCGCCAACGCAGAGGATGAGCATGAGCATTGAGCACGACCTTTAGATGTGAACTCCGGCAGGAAGTGCAACGCGGTAGGCGCTTCCGGGTCCGGTAGGGACCCCGTGGCGCTGGCGCTGGCTCGCTAGTAGACATTGTGGTTTGTAATGGATCAAAGCTGTGCTGTATAGCACACGCGGTACGCAGTTGACGCCTGCGTGGCTATATTGGACAGCTGATGGCTGTATGGGGCGTAAAGTGATTTCCAATACCTTCCTAGAAGACAGCCCCACAATTTCGCGTTAGTAGCGCTGCGTTTAATAAGCGAGCTCTAAGCCCGGCAATCATCCGGCGCTTTATGAGGTGCTCAATTCTCATACCAAGCACGGAGTGCATGGTTACTAACGCGCATGATCTTGACGGAAAGTAAATAGGGAATACCAACACGAAGATCCCATGAGACTGTTTGGCATCATATTAGTTATCAACTTTCTCCCATACCCTATTCTCTTGCTACGTTCTAGGCTCGGGTATTCGCTGCGTGAGTAACCTCAAGGCCTGAACTGACAGCTGTTCTACATGACCACAGTATCGAATGGGAAACGTTCAAGTCTATCGAGTCAAATGTCGTAAGAATGGGAAACAAGGCAATGAGACACTGAGCCGTCGGGCTCCCTTACAGTAGGTAGATCCATGTGTCGTGCAACTTTAAGATCCCCACAACCACTTATTATTAGACCTCGTCATCGACTCACCTAGATCCCATCTATCGAGCCCCTTTCCGAGACTAGCGCGATCTCTGTAAGGCAGAGGCACCTCGACAGCAGCCAATGCGGCTCACGTATCCGATCTGGGCATTTCCCATTACGGCTATGAATCTGGGGAGGACGTGGTGGAGGGGAGCGGCATGATCTCATGCATTTCCTAGTGGTGGTCCCTGAAAGGGGCGCGCGTCATATGTAAAGTCAGATGTGCCTGTTACGTCTGCAGCTCTCTCTGTTCGTATCATATAACCACTCAAATTCGCATACCCATTGTGAATTGAGCCAGACAAACGTCACTTACACCTCAGAAATAAGCAACATGTCGGCAGCAAACACCCTCCTTCGTTCAGCAGTGCGGGCCTCAACCACCGCAAGAGCCGCCACTCGCAACGGACTCGTCCGTCGGCCCCTGACGAGGACGTATGCCGACAGCAAGCCGCCGCTCGCACATGGAGGTCACAATAGGGGACTGTAAGTTAAGCGCAAACCCAATTCCATCCTTCCTTCCTCCGATCCATAGATTCCATCCCATTCCAGTCCCTCGGGTCCCAACCCTCCAGCATCATCCCTGCTCCGCTCGAGTTTTTATCTTTTATCAAGCGCTTCGACCTCAAGGGGAAAGCCAAACCCCAATACCCTAAAATAGTAAGACTAACAAACACACCACGCCCGCAGAATCATCGCCCTCGTAGGCATCACAGTGCCCGCGCTGGGCTATTTCACCATGATGCGCGAGGTGAAGACGGACCCGACCAAGATCTCGGCGCCGGCGCTGGACCCGGCGGCCCGGAAGCGCGAGAGGGACGCGGCGGAGCCCGACCGGCCCAAGTACATCCACCCGGAGCACGAGGACCCGGAGCTGCAGGCGCCCTTCGGGCGCGTCCACAAGAGGAAGCGGGTTGACGGCCCGCTGGACGACCGGAATCATCAGTCGTTGCAGGATCGGCAGAGGCAGATTTGAGGGAGTCGAGGCGAGGCCGGAAGAGAAAAGAAAGCGGATGGAGCATGCGTGTTAGTAAAGTAGTGGAGGTTGGAACTTGGAAGGAGGGCTTTGGGAACGACTAGGACTCCTTATTAGAGATACAGTCCCCGGCCACAAGTCTCCGAGCATCCCTGTTTTGCACCAAAACACCCCAACTTTACGCTATCGTAATAAATCGAGTAAAATAGATACAACTCAAGTACTTATAGTACTTATAGTTAAATTTACTGGAATGTGGATCCCAGCCACTGGATCCAGCCACCAGTACCTTATCGGATCTCCTGTCATCCAGGGCGTTCTACGATAAGGTTACCTGGGATGGCTGCCCCAGGTGACAGGAACCAACCCACTGTAATTTAGGTGTTTAGATACTTCTCGGATGGGATCCCTTCCCATCCGAACGTAACCAAGCACCAACCAGAATACAGATCATCTCAACCGAGACTTGTGATAGATCTCTGTCCTGGTTCCGCTACCACAAAGGCACAGGAATATCAAAATGGCTTATTTAAAAACTTTAACATTGTCAGAAGTGGTGTGCCTGTCAGGTGTGGATACTGTGTGGCTGCAGCCGTTGGCAGCTGAAAGGGATGAAAGGGAGCTTTGGTTGCAGCGCTGTGAACGGGGGTTTGCCTGGCAGATCAAGGGATAGGCTCCCCTTTGTGCCTTGGGTGTGTATTTAGGTGCAGATGTCAGTCCCTGACCCATGGGACGATCAAGTCAAGCAACCCATCACCATTACCACCTCATCTGAACCCCTGAACTTCACAAACATCTTAAAGATAAAGGTCGTAAATATTACTTCATTAAAGGTTAAATTTTCGATAAAAATAACTTTTTAACGTATCTAATTTAAAAAAAATTCTATCAAATAAGGGTTTTCGTCTTATATGTATATTACATGTTATTTGTCAGATGTTAAATCCCAGATATGCTTAGGTGCAGTACACGCTAGGGGGCTGCCAGGGGACCAATGGATCCACCCTGGCATGGTGCAGTATGGTATTTAGCTGTAGATTAGCCCTGCCGAGCATACTTGAAAATGACAACAACATTTGCAGCGACCGCTCACACCCCCAAGGCTTGTGACCCTTCTAGAATCTCACATTATTTAATATGATATAACTTTATTACAACTTATACGATTTTCAAAAACAAATTTATAGCTTTATTAAGATTTAAGATTTAAGATCTAAAACTTTATTTGTATATATCTATTTCTTACTATTTTAGTCGCTAAGAAAATAAATATTTAGAAATTAGTTACAAAAACTTCAGCATTTTCAAATATTAGTTTCTTATAACATCTCATTTTAAAAAGCTTTAAGTCTTTAGTTATAAAAGCGTAAAGGTAGGGAATTTTGGTGTAAATGCGGGGATGCTCGGAGACTTATGGCGGGTCAGTGTACCATGATCACAACGAACCGAATTTTACTTATTTGAGTGTAACACTCGAGGTCTTGTGCATTCCATTCCATTCCCATGACAACAAACCAAAACCACCACCTCGCACCCAGCTCCATCATCCCCAGCTCATAACGTATAAACCAACTTCCCCCCACTAACCCGTCCCGCCCTCAACTCCTCCAGCCCGCCCAGCACGCCCTCAAGCCCGCTCCCGCCACGATTGACCGTCGGCCGCAGCGGCCTTACCGCGTCGCCCGCCTCCAGCAGCTTCCGGACGAGCTCCCAGAACATGGCGGCGTGGTCCGCCTCGTCAGCCTGCGGCGTATGTTCGACGCCCATGCGGTTGTATGGCTCGCCCAGCGCGTCATAGCCGACGGTGAAGTGCGGGCCGTCGATGCGCGCGTTGATCGGCTCGATTTCCTCGCGCTTCACCTTGGTGATGTGCGCGTATTTGGGGGCTGGGCCTGAGGGGCTGTTGCTTAGGGCCGTTGCGCACTGGAGGAGGGTTAGGGGTTAGTTAAGGTAGTATACATTTCACCGGTTTTTTTTCGTGGTGGTGAGTTTTGATGGAACGGCAAGGAAGGGGGCCATGAGAGCAGCAGACAGTTACAAAGCTCTGGTGGGAGTCACACACATCCCAGTGGCACACCACATCTTCAGGGGAGGTCAGGGGAGGATGAACAAGGAACGCCGTCACTCACAATCTCACCAGCACCCACACAATCCCACACCAACCTCAGCTCGTTCCCCGTGTACTCCCGAATATCCCTCACGCACGTCGGCGAGTTATAATCAAACACAGCATCAGCACCAAGCGCCTTCAGGAAGTCAAAGTTCCGCGGCGACGCCGTCGTGACGACCCTCAGTCCCGACGCCTTGGCGAACTGGATGCCGTAGATGCCCGTTGCCGTGCTGCCGCCGTAGATCAAGATGGTGCGGCCGTCCTGCGCCGGGGGAAGCGGCAGGCCGAGCTTCTTGTAGAGGCCCTGGCCCTGTGGTGGTGCGCGCGGTTCAGGTGAGCTCTTGTATCACTCCGTGAGGTGGTGTGATGTGATGTGATGGATAAAGTACTTACCACAGTCGTGATCGACACACCCAATGTCGCCGCCTCCTCGTAGCTGATATTATCCGGGATCTTGATCTGCAGGTGCTGCTTCGCGACGATGTACTCGCCGAAGGCGCCGCTGTCGAGCTGCTTCGGGTTTCTGTAAAGTTAGACAGGCACACGTATCAGCCATAATGTTCCCTCACACCACAAACAAGACATCCCATATCCTCAAACCACCGAGACGCACGTTCGAAACAAAATGAGGGGCGCCCATGTCATACTCCTCTCGCATCCCAAATAAGACAGCGACTTACCCTCCAAACACCATCCCCGCGACCCGATCCCCCTTCCCAAACCTCCCATCAACACCCGCGCCGACCTCGACGACGTCGCCCGCGTAGTCGCACCCGGACCGCGCGCCAGCCGGCGCAGTCGGCGCATGGATGCTCTTCCAGTCGGTGGGATTGAGGCCGACGGCGCGCACCTTCACCAGAATATAGCCGTCGTGCAGCTTTGGAAGCGGCACCTCTTGCACGGCCGCCTTGCCGGGCGCCACGATGACGACGGCTTTGGTGGTGGTGGGGGTGTGCATGGTGTCGGTCGAGACTCTGACTTTTAGTGAATGAGTGATGATTATCGTCCCTTTCGAGTCGTTAGAAGGGGTTGGATGGTAGTATAAGAGGCCTGTGGCTTGGGATGGATGTATATGCTGTTCGTGAGAGGAAGTATGGCTGACGGTTTGTTCGAGATACACGATATAAGTGAAGAGAGGATGGTTCGGTGTTTCTTTATACTCGATGAAGCCAGAAGTGTATGACAAATCACCAACCGCACTGCGTCTATCGGGTATAAGAAAACATCTGATAGCACAAGGTTGGGTTGGGTACATGAACAGCTCGCCGTCTACAGCGGCACAGCAGACTTCCCAGTCAGGCGAACTCACCCGTCTTACAGGGAATCTATTCCACCGCGCGGATTTGTATCAATAAGCAGCCTACACCCCGCGTTGTTGATAATGTAATCATGCACGAGTGGGGACTAAGCCGCGATGAGCTGGATCTGAGAACCCGTATATCAAGTCAAATGGATAAACTCCAGTTTGGTATCTAACATGCCGTCTAGGTGTAGTAGACTCGCTGACTAAAGGAAGGATAGACTCGTTCAAATTCCCCGGGCCGAAGAGCGCTGCTAGACTGCATGCCTCTATAGGTATGACAAGACAGATGCTTCCAAATCCACATGAACGCCGTGTCATCGTCTACCATTATTCGTTAAGTGATGTTCGAGCACGAACCTTTACTATGGGCTCTCAACGACCACCATAATCACTAGAGTAGCTTGTGTCGCCGAAATTCTGTTGCATCCCGCCGTCACCGAAACCCGTGCCAGGCCCGCTGACGTAGCCGCCGTCGTCGCCTTCGTCATAGTCCGATGCGTCAAAACTCGAACGGCCGCTGGGATCATCTTCCACGTTACCCATATCGTTCTGACTCCAATTCATCTGGGCTAGTGCCGGGTATTGGGCTAGCAAGGCCTGTGGCAAGCCGAATCCAGTGGGCTCCATTGCGGGATACATGTTGGGATCCATGACGGCGTGCTGGGCCATGTTCTGAGCTGCCATGCTTTGCATCCGTTGCTCCTGCCAGATTCGTTGACGCTCGAGCATCTCCTCATCCAATAGCGCTTTGATGCATATCCGACCTGCTTCGGAGCGGAAATGGCGACCTAACGCATCTGCTCGGGCGAATCGCCTTCCGCAACCCCATTGCCCTCCGGCCTTGAGATCTCCTTTGCACACAAATTTCTTCTCTCCGGAATGGAGTCCCTCATGACGTTTCCGATCATGTTGCCTGGCGAAAGCTTTTCCGCAGACTGTACACACGAAAGGTCTCTCATCCGTGTGGGTGCGCAAGTGAGAGCGCAAGTTGTACGCGCGTGTGAACCTTTTGGGACACAGAGTACACTGAAATGTGGCCGGGTGTTTCTGTACCCGTTTCGTGTTCCCGCTGTCTTGAGCCGCCTGATACTCGGGATCGGCCAGTCGGAGCGCAATCACATTGTTTGGAACAGAAGACATGGATTGGCGCCTTCTCGAGGCAGCGTTCGCACTTCCAGATCGGTCCGCCGGGGAGAGCGACCCAGACCTTGACGATGACTCGGAGCCCGACCGGCTACGGTCGGCTAGGTCAGCACCCAGATGTGGAGAGAGACCCCCCGGCGTACCAGGTCGCGAAAGAACAGCCCCGCCGCTGTTAAAAGGATCCGTGACCGCGCGAGGTCGGGACCGAGGTCGTCCTGTAAGTACGTCAGCCACGGTTTCATCTCAGAGTCACAAGGCGTATTACCTCTATCAGGGGGAGTCAGCGAAGTTTGGTCCAGTCTTGGTTTTGCTGGCTCAAATGTGTTTTGCCTCGACATGGGAGCAAAGTCGATGTTGATCGACGGAGGAGCCATGATTGATTGATCCATACTGCCTTCTTGTGGTAGTGAAGGGAACTGCTCCGCCTGCATCGGGTACGCAAGACCAGGACCACTCTGATACCCGGGATTCAACATCATATTCGGGTTTGGGTGGCCGGCTTCGGGCATTTGTTGAGGAATTAACCGAGGGGAGATGTGTGGGCTATGCGACGGGCTACGGCTATTACGGTTGGGGTCCGATATGCTGAAGCTGTTCATTCCCAGAATGCCATCGTAGAAGCCGTCTTGAGGTCGTTGCATTGGGGAGTGGCCGTGTTCGGAGAAGCCGTCGTGACCGTTTAAATTCGGGGATGCAGCATTCGAAGACACGTCAGAGTACTCTGATGGTGTTCTGCGATGTCCCTGGAACTGAGCTTGACTCCAATCCAGCTGGCCTGGCATCAATGCAGCCTCTGGGCCCAATGACGCATGCCTTGAGTGGTGGCCAGACGAGGGCGAGAACTGGTGTTGGTTGAAGGACGGCGATTGGTGTGCGGAGCCAGGTTCAGGCTTGAGGAGGTGCGGCGGAGTAGGGGAGTGATGTGTTTGCGGAGAAGTCATGTTGGTTAGATCGTTTGGGTTGAGAGACGGCGGATTCGACTGGGATATATCGCCGAACAGGGAAGTAGTGGTGAACTGGTCGCCTTGGGTAGATGGCGGAAACAGGGAGAAGTCGCCGCTAGGATTGAAGTCTGCGCCCAGCAGGTCTTGCGTGAACCCGCCTTGGGTTTGCGCGAAGTCTTGCGCCGGGTTGAAGGATGTTGTGTCGGCGATACCCTGCTGAGGGAAGCCTTGTGACGGTGAGGCGCCCAGGTAATGGTTGCTGCCGTTGGCACCGCTGTAGTCGGTGAAGTCGTTTGTTGCGAAATGGGGGTTTGTTGGCGAGGGCTCGAGACCAATGCCGAGGCCAATGGATGCTTCCGGAGATTGATAGGGATGAGGCGAAGGCGAGTGGCTATTTATTATATGAGGCTGCTGATGCCCCGCGGATGGCGAGCGGCTATGAGCCGGCCGTGTAGCTTGTTGATCCATGATGGAACTGTTTCCGTCTTTAGAATTTCCAGGTCTGACTGGCAAGGTTGTCTGTCAAGCTGTGAAATCTGCCTCGCAGCGTGGCGCAGCCCGGCTGCGAGTCGAGGGGGCTGTGCTTAGGCGAGTCTGACGGGTTCCAAGTCGCCAACCCAACAGCGCAGCGCAGCAGTCCACTCCAGTCGAAATCCCGGGAGATGTCGCAAGGCCTGGCGCAACAATGCGGTAAGTCACAGTTGGCGCGGGTAGGTATCCCCAGGTGCAGGCCGGCGACGTTCCTCACTCGAGGTCGGCGACAAAGATGGGAGATGGGGATGGGGGAGACGCGGCGCCCAGCTGCTTGTGTCTTCAATGTAGCTTGGGTACAATTGGCTGGCTGGCTCTTCAATGTTGGTGCGAGAGCTGTGCGCCAGTGTTGTGCTGTATACACGCCCCTTGCTTCAGGAAGCAGCACTCGTAGTAGTCGTAGGGCCTCGGAAGCTGTGCAATCAAGTTGACGACGCAGCAAGCGCGTGCCTTTTCTTCAGCCAATATGGTATGTTTGAAAGGCACCACTTAACCCTTTGAGTTGTCATATGTAGCATATACGTATGTCCTTGGTCCGTATCCAAAATAGATTCAGGCGGCAGTTTACTACCCGTCGCAGTTGTGATGCGGCGTGGGTGGAATATGGCTGTTGGTGTTGCGACTCAGGCGCAAGTGACAACCAACCAACCGCGTCTTCCTTCGTGCTGTGACAATGTATAAATATCGAAATAGCCTAGCTGTTGGCTTGCGAGAATCCGAGGATTCAAGAACTCGAAGAATCGGCTACCTGGGAGATCTGATTGTGGCCTTGTTCGACGGACGGGTTGGAACGGTACGGTCGACGGTGTGCGACGTGTTGGTCTGGTCGGAGTCGGGGAATGTGTGCGCAGGCAGGTAACTAAGCAACCGGATCGTAGTGTAAGGAGTAAAAAGTACTACTTTCCTTCCTTTTCGATGGGATAATGATCCAGCTTGCGACTTGGCGCTTCGTCTGGTGAGTCGTGACAGTACCTACAGCTACTACTGTGCGACTGGAGGCGTAGATGGAGATGGAGATGGACGGACTGAGCTGGAGACTCTGAGAGTGATTGCGATTCCCATTCCCCAGACTGCCAGTAAGGTGCTGTCTGTGCCGTGGCCCGTGGGTCTGTGAAGGTCAGGTGGCACTTGTTTGCAGGTGCCATGCCAGACGCCAAAGAATGACCCCTAAAAGTTCTAAGTTCTAACCTGCCAAGCCATGGAAGGTACCATTCCATGCCCCCCACCTGTCTCTGCCCTACGCCCTACGGCTTCTTCATCGTACATCGTAGCCCAGCCACATGCAATCCTACCTTCCAAGGTTGTTGGATCTATCATCTCTCTAGGTAGACGACCGTTGCTCTTGCCATGTCGAGCGCCGGCAGAGCCAAATCACAGACAGCCACGTTGCCAAGAAGCTTCAGCATTGAGGGATGATGGAAGAGCTGCAAGACAGAGACCTGCATCTGGAAAGCCTGCCCGATTCAGCGTTCACTGACGAGTTTCCGCGCGGCCATGTCCACGGACTTTAGGCATCCATACCTATTGAGGCAGTGAGCGAGGATTATTATTAGGTTGCCTGTTCTGCCTGTCCGCCCTACCTACTCGCCCCAGCCCAGCTCATGATGCCAGATGCCAGATGCCAGATGCCAACCTGTCATTTGATCAGCTATCATCGATCGAATAGTGGATTATCTACTGATGCATCCTCTCATCGGGCCTCGGTCCTTCACTTCATACCGGCAGACCGGCCACAGGGTTTCGAATCATCGGCGGTTGTTGGCGCCGGCCCACAATCGACTGGTCCGGGTACTCAAGTTTGAAACGAGCAACCATAGTATCACTCGCTGACATCATGTTATGAGTTATGACTGATGAGAGGTGCGGTGGATGCACCATCACTATCCCTATGGTCGACCTGCCTGATCAGATCATGAGGCGGGACCCTGGACCCCTACACACGCAGATCGTGGCTGTGTGGGTGACCGTGCCGCAAAGTCCCTTTGCCATCTGGATTTTGGAGTTTGGGATGCTGACCTCGACGGGTATAAATAACCCTCGTCATCTCAACGCCTCGACCCATCTGATCTCATCTCGTTCCGCGTAGGATCAACGCGAGGGTCGCCATTCCAGAACTTTTCTCGAAGCCTTCTCATGATCTACAGACGGGCGCTTTTCCGTCATATCACCAACAGCGATGTTCCCTGTCTTGTGCTACGGTGAGTTTCATTTGTGCCTGCTTACTGTAACAAAGTGAATACAGTATCAGGTGCGCATTTCTTACCGCTACATGCCCGCTGATGGGAGAGGGAATGACTCCAGTATGACATATGCTGTCACTGAGGCTATTCCTACGATCTGCAGGTCCCCGCCTCTCTCGCCGAACTTGGCCTGGCTGATTCGTTGCCGTCCACCTGCCAGGTGTCCAACCGAACATCCTCGAGGCTCAACGGCGATAATCCATTGCGTGTCAGCCCGAATCCACCTCATCTGTTTCAATGATCAATCTCTCTTTGTTCACCTGTTGACCCAATGATTGATTCTTCGAGAACGTCGCAATTGTATCCGTCATTTTGCAAATGTATCTCCGTATCGGTTGAAGAGTGGGAAAAAGCTGAGATATTCTATTCAGTTGAGTGGGGAAATGGGACCTGGAAGAACGCCGTGCCAGACGCTCCTCGGTCCTCGAGTCTATGGGTATACTGTGTAGCCGATCTATAAGCCTGATCAGGCCCCGGGTATCCTTCTTACAACAACAAAGACCAGAACGCCGTATCCTACACACATCAACATCCGAACCGTCCGCCAGCTCGATCGCTGGCCGGGCATGAACTCTGGAAATGACCACTTATCCTAGCACAATTGGGTGTGAGACGTTTACATCACGTCGACTCGTTCGTAGCCCTCCGGTCTCACGGCGGGCCGTGGTGGTTCGCGTCCTTCCTTGTAGTCGCTGACGAAGGGATTCGGGTCCTCATTCTGATTGAGGTTGCCCAGCGTGTGATTCACACCTCTATGGCACGCCTCGTCGGCGCGGATGTAGAGGATCAGGTCCTTCATCGTGCGCTTGCCCTCTGGCATCTTCCAGTAGTCGACGGCGATATCGGGCACGACGAAGTCGGGATCCGCCCATTTGGGCAGGTGACCATCCTCGATCTGCTTAATGGCCATGGTGTAGGTGTGGACTGCCTCTTCCTCGAGGTAGCCGACGAAGCGGTGCGTGATCTTGGGGGAGATGATGTACGATAGGAAGAGACCGTTGAAGTAGACGCCCTGGGCGCCGATAAGTATAATCTTCATGAACCAGCCTGGTATAATCGTTAGCAGGTAAAGACCAAGTTTGTTGTGAAATTACGCACCTGGCTCGCACATCTTCATGAACGTCAGGAGATGCATTCGTTCGTTGTAGCTCTCCTCGAGCAGGGTTTCTATCCAGCCATTGTCCCGCTTCAATCGTCGCAGGCTGCGCAGGTGACGTAACATGCCGGCGACCATGCCGGGCACACCTGCAATGGACTCGAGGAAGAGGAACCGAATGAGCCATTGGCTCTCGGTGAGGGGAGCTATGGTGGCAACCGCCGTCGTGGGGTTGTTCTTGTCGACCTTCTGGTCCTTGCGCATGCCCGTGCAGGTATCCATACCCCAGCGACAGAACCGCATGAACTTCCACGCAGCGAGCTCACCCCACGTCTCCGGCTTACGGTGGCCGGGCACGACGTCGAGCATCTCCTGCTCGGTGTAGCCGTGATGTGGCCATGCCGGCAGCGTGCGGTGGATGTGCTCTGTCTCCTTCGCCGGGAAGAAGTCTCGCAGATGAGTCACCGGTGTCGATGAGAAGGACCTGGTGTTGCTGCCATGTCGCTGCTGGGTCGATGCGACGAGTCCGACGCGGATTGCGGTGGGGTATCCGAGTGGAGAGGTGGATAGCAGAGGTACCACAGCTCGGGATAGCTGGGTAGCTTGCTTGGGGGAGCAGAGTTTGCTGTGGACTTTGTTTGATAACATGGAGAAGGAGAGGAGGGAGATGTGTGTCACGGCTGGAAGTAGAAAGGGGAGTTGATGGTATGGGAGAAGACTCAGAAGAGGGTGTGCAAATGTGTAAGCTTGGTGATGGGTGTTTCCTTTGTGGATGTGAATGTGGCGTAGCGAGCTTGGACAATACAAAGAATCGGAATGACAGTCATCATCAATACTTACTTATAAGACCTACCTCGGGGAGCTGACGGCAGCTGACTCGGGCAACAAACCGCATGATTTGCTCCTAAACATACGAAACAGCACCGGTTTGGTAACTAGTGAGGAAACGCAAGGCCATTACGAAGACCAACCGGCTGGGTGATCCTCCCGTCTTGTCTGTTCTGGAACTTCTGGTGTTGTTGAGAAGATATTTCGGGCTCTGGGAGTGCGGCAACTAAAGTCTCAGCCTCAACCCATAGCGGTCAATGAGAGACATGCATGCTGAGTTTTGAGCGGGTTTGGGAATGTCAGCTGGCCTTGCAGCGTCGGGATTTACAGGAGCGTGCGATACTGGCTTCCGGTAAAATCTCGTGGCCACCGTCAGACTCACCGCACGTCTGGCAGCACACCACAGCACACACAGTGCAGGTGGTGAGCAGACAAGGCTTCTCTGGTGACTCATCATCGTGGAATAAGTACGGAGACGTATGCCACAACAAGTCAATGTCATGGTGACGCATACATCAATCCTTTTTCACATGGGATCAATTCCCTCCCATCCCTCTTCCATACCGCCATTGCCTTCGACGGCGAAGAGGAATAGGAGACAGAAAGCGAAATCTGTCATGCATTGAGACGGCAATCGCCGCGCATGGACGGTTCAGTGTTGTTGACTCTGATGGAGTTGGGACAGCCGGGTCAATGTCGGATGGCCAGACGTTGAAGAGTCGGTCCCTGGTCAATATAAGGTGCGAAAAGCCAATCCCATTCTCCACAAGCGCGCCGTCTGGACCTTCGCAGGGTTGATGAGACGCCACTTTGCTCAGCGGGTTGATTAGTAGGATTTGTACTCAATGTCGTAGCTGACTTTAATTCTCTGAGACGATCTTGGCGACGGCAGATGCATCAGCCGCCCGCACATTAAAAAGCTGCATTCAAGATCGCTTGGCCTTGCATCCAGGGTCCGAAAAATATGATATTTAGAATCGTAATGGTATATTACGATACAATACTAACTAATACGATATTGCTACGAATAGTAATAAGAGAATTGTAAAAGGTTCCTCATAATTGAACTTATATGTTCTTCAAAATGAAAATAAAAAAGAGAGTATATTTGAATTCTACTGATATCTTTCTTCTTTATTTAATTATTCTAAATTTAATACAGTAAATTTTGCTAGTAAATTTGTAACTCAACTATTGAAATATATAAAATATACGTTTTAATTAAAATTTTCTGAAAAATAGAATTACAAGATAAAAATATAACATTATTAATTTATATTACTTTGTTTAATAATAAGTACTTAAAAATAGAATAAAATATTATATACAAAACTATATTGAAGATTTGTAATTATTATAATATTACTATATAATAATCAACTTCGTTATAATACAATACGATATTAAGTAATATTACTATTTGTATTTTCCCACCTTACTTACGACGTAAACTAATTATATTTCTCAAAAATGAAAGAGATATTTTTCTATATTAAAATTACTTATTGTCTTTTTATATTATATTTAAATAGTTTTTCTAATCATTTTTGAGTTTATTTACCGTGATATATACGCGGCTTGTATAAATGAACAGTTATATATATATTTAAGTAGCGAATAAATAATATATAATTAAAGCAGCATATATTAATACCGTCACTTACCCGGTAATTATTTAAGTTTGTTGGAACAGGCTTGAACGATCAATCATAATACTCGAGTATGGGGTCAAGGTCATGATGTTGCTGATGGTTGTGACGGCTGTGGCGGCCTGCACAGACCTTCCCACATGACAAGTGGATACCTCCTAATAGGGGAAGGATCTGACCAGAGGATCCCCTTAAAGGGGCAACCTCCCACTGTACCTATCTCTCTCTCTCTCTTCCTTTCCTCTCTAGTCTTGATATTCTCGTCAATAGAGTAATAGCTGCTTGCTGCCGGCCATGTCCCAGCTCCTCAGTACGCTCGCCGTGACAATGGTTGGATTGAGAGGAATCTAGCTGGACTCGAAGGTCTGGCCAAGTGCCCTCTCAATCCACTATCTTATCTTATCTAATCATACATGTGGGTCCTGGTATAGATGGTTTGCAGTCTGGAATTGCATGGATCCAACAAAGTTATATATAAACCGCGTTTAATGATAATAAAAGTTGATAATAGTTAAGTATAGCTATTATACTAGTAACGATTGTCTTTATCATATTATATATAAATACGGTTAATATATCTTTTAAACGTAGTAAGTAAGGCTTAAAATAATATATAAGTTTATGAAATACGACCGTTTTTAAAACTTTAAATCGTATGCTTATATTATAAACACGGTATTATTACTTATTCATTTCAAAAGTAAGGTTAGCTTAGTAATATTGTCGCTATTAAATAGCGTAAACTTGTGATGGTTCTACTATCCATCAGGTCTAGCAATGGTTCCTATAGTTCCCTGGTCACGTGACTGAGCACGTGACTGATCGGACGATAGGTTGATCTATGCTCTGGTGGGTCTGGTGGGAGACGACTGCCCACATCTAGCTGCCTACCAAATTGGGTGCATCACCAGATCTTTCTTTTCCTTCAACCAGAGTTTGTTATACGTTAATAGTCAATAAATGTCCCTGTATCCTTCAGATACATTTACGAAATCGTGACAAAACGTTTTGAACGCGGATTATATTAAAAGTCACCACTTAAAATAAAGAAAAGGGCTAATATAAAGTATACTTTTAAATTAAATTAAATAAAAGTTATAATTACCTTTTATAAGTCTTTGTTAGGCATGGCTGGTATGCCGCATTTAATTTTCGAATATTATGAAAAAATATTAATACTGTAAAATAAATACACTCTGATGAGCAACTTATATATAAAAAAGCGTCTTTAATACTTATTTTATTTATAACAAAAGCACCTTTTACTTAGTAAATAAAGGGTGTACAAAGACTTATAATAGTTTTATATATATTGGATCCATCAAGTAATAAGCGTGGAATACGGTATTAATTTAGTTAAAACTGCGTATCAAAAAGGTGTTTCAATACTTGCTTTATCAAGCCAACTATTAAAATATACTTGCAATTTCAATAATTTGTAACCAAATTTAATTTTAGTTTATTTATTAATTTTTGTATAATAAAAGTATTTGTAATAACTTTATTACTATCTTTACCTTATTAATTATATTACTACGGAAAAATAAATAATTAAATAACTTGCGTAATTATTTCGCTATTATAAGTAATAGTGCTATTATACTAAAAGCTAGCCGCTTTATTAAAAGCTAACTACTTTATTGAAACCAAAACTCTTTTAAAGCTAATAAAATGTTTTATTAATATTATATTAAGCTTCTGATCATAACGATTACGTAATTTAAAAAGTAATAATAAAGTGGTATTACTTAATTGATATATTATTTTTATTACTACAAAATACAAATATATTTAACTGTAATAACATATTACTAAAACTTAATAGTAATTTTATATCAACCGTAATATTTACATAGTAATTATTGAGCGATTAATAAGCTATTAATAAATATAATATTAGTCAATTTAATAAACTACTATGAATACTTACCCTTTAATAATTCGATATTATAATTTATATATTATATATAAATAAATAGTATATTAACTTATATAACGCGATAGTATTACGTAACTATTATATTTAATTCATATTATATTAACTTGAAATATATTTATAATAGCCGCTTGTATTTATTATATTTATACTTTAAAAAGGTTTTATGAGACTGTTATTGTACTTTTTTAAAACGGGGCCCCCCTTTATAAGTATTTAAGACTTAAAAACCGAGCAGAGGCAGCTATTAGTGTTAGGTATGACGCGACGTAACAATACTAAGAGCAGTAAATCCTGAGGCGAGTTTTTTACTATGTAGCCTGCGATGCTGTAGACGATGCGGGAGTAGATGTGAATGGATGGGCGCATGAACCTACCAGATGCGCATTTAATGGATCTATTCTCGGACTCGACCGACGTCATATGCCAATGGAAACATGTGCAATGGAAGTGACAATGAGGACGGATGGGACAATGTACCTATGGAAGAAATGCCCCGCGTCTCGTGTCCAACCACAGCAGCGCGAGCCATGAGATGCGACACCACGGGCAATCTCACATTGGCAGGCAGCTCCCTGTCTTTGACGGCAAACAGGCTTACCTGACTCACCAAGCTGGAAGAATACAGGGCATTTCACAGCACGTTCACTGTCCAGAGGCGTCTCCCAGGGCTCTTCCAGGCCCCTCCTGTCCCCTCTCCCACCACCGTGGCGTCCACTGCCGACCCATCCACAACTTTAGGCAAAGGAACAAAAAGCACTTGAGCACATTTTTGTGCCCAACGCTGCCACCACCACAACCACAAAATCGCGAGCTCCTCCCATTCCTTTCTCCGTTGACCAACTTTCCACCTATTTAAGTCCTCCTCGCTCCGCGCAGATCACCACCCAAGCCATCACCAAGAACACCAACCTCCATCGCCAATCTACAGCAGCAGTCAAGCCGTCCAAATCTACAATCATGCCTGCCAAAAAACAGTGGGGTAAGTCGCTTCCCGCCACCCAGGGCCTACGCGGTACAAAGCGCGTGTCCCGAAGTTGCCACATCGCCAATCTCACCACCAACATGGGATTTGCGATGCGCGCATGGCAAGCCCTCATTAGAACCGGCAGGGAGGGTCGAATAGGGCTCAGTGGGTCTTAATCGTCACTTTCTACCTGGTCTATTGGGTTTGCCTGCTGTCCACAGATGCAACCTGCCTGTGCGGCCCCTTGGGCTGCATCCGCCGCTTTGTACGCATTAGGCTGACCGCTTCTTCGGACACAGACGACGAGGAGAGCGACTCCAGCACCCCTCCCTCTTCCCCACCCGCCGGTGCCTTGCGCCGCAAGTTCGATGATGAAGAAGAGAATGACAGCGATGTAAGCACCCGATATACACCCGACACCCGCTCCATTGCTCCATGCTAACGACCATCTCTTCTCAGGTCCTAGACTCATGGGATGCCGCCGAGGATTCCGAAGTCGAGCGCGAGAAGACCAAGAAGGCCGCCGAGGCCAAGGCCAAGGCCGACGCCGAAGCTGCCGCGAACAAGAAGTCCAAGGCTCAACGCGTGGCCGAACACCAGGCCCAACGAGCCCACCGCCTGGCTGAAGGTGGCGCGTCTAGCGACGAGGAGGAGGAGACCGAGGCTGAGCGCCGCGAGCGGATGAGACGCACCGAAAAGGAAGCCGACTTGAACCACGCCCGAGATCTCTTCGGTGATGCCGGTATCAGCCTCAGCAATGGGCGCAAGGCCACCACTATCGGTTCTGCTATCCCTATCGACGCTAGCGACCCGAACAAGACCGTCGACCTAGCCTCCCTGCCGTTGTTCAACCCGCAGACCAAGCTGCAGTTCGAGACTTTGCGCAACACCATGGTCCCCATCGTCGGCAACAACTCCAAGAAGGCACACTACACTCTGTTCCTTCAAGAGTTCTCTAAGCAGCTGGCCAAGGATCTCCCTAGCGACCAGATCAAGAAGATCGCCAGTGCCCTCACCGCCTTTGGTAACGAGAAGATGAAGGAGGAGAAGGCTGCAGAGAAGGGTGGCAAGAAGACCAAAGCGCAGAAGACCAAGACTCAGTTGGTGACCAACAGGACCCCAGCGGCCGACGTCGGCACCTACGAGGAAGACTTCGGAGAGTAAGTCTTGTCATGCCAATTATCCGAATTCATCATATTTCATCATATACTGACAGGTGGGATAGTGATGACTTCATGTGAAAGGCGCAAAGGGAACCCAACTCCCTGTGGTTATTGCCACTGAGTCTGCACATAAGTCGCCCCGGCTCGTGAAGCCCAGCACTGTGAACTTCACCAGGCCAGCGCCTGACATGTGGCATCATACAAGTGTCTTTACACCGCCCGAGGGTCAGGCACCTCATACCCCTCCCGACAGGGTTGGAAGTCTAATACAGGATTGGTGATGATGGATGGCACTCGGCTGTGGCCAGAGGACGGCAAGCAAGACTTCATCCGGAGCTGGCGAAATAGGAACCCTTGTGAGGGGACTTCTGGCGTTGGTTGCATTGCGAAACATAGGCAGTGCCGCGGCCGGGCGAACGTGTCCCGGCGCGGATCCTTGCTATTATGGTTGGTTGATTGATTAGACGTGGGAGTCTCTTCGAGACTGTAGATAGACAGTGAGGACTAGTAGTAAGAAATTGCGTATCTATCCCGTGTTGCTTTTCGACAATCCTAATTGTGAATGTCAGTAGTGGCTAGCTACCTTGTCTAGACTCTTCTGTATAAAAGCAGACTCAGGTGGACTCTGGGATACATCAAATACCATCATTCGTATAGTGTCCGCGTTCCAAATAACTCATCGCACATCGTGTAAAACCGCATGCTCTATTATTTCTCTTCATATTCTCACAGTCACCCTGACCCTATATGCTACAGATAGGGGTATTTCCATTCCGACTCAGGGGTACACGCGCCCCTACCTATCTATTCGTGACCATACACCTTGAGACGCCAGACCTCCCGATACGGATGGATATAGTGCATACCAGCACGCCCAACTTGTGGAAATCATCGCAGGAGAACGGGGCATGCAGGAGCACACAACAGCGCTCCGCGTAACATGCATGTACAAAGCAATGACCCGAAGAACCCATGCCCCTTTTTATACACAAATACAAATACGCTGGCAGATCTACAGAGAGGGGATTCGTTTCATACAAGGCGTTAGTCAGTTGATCGAGCAGGAAATCAGACGACGTTTCCGGCCATGCCCATGAATAGGGCATGCACGGCCAAGCTCAGTGTCCAGAAGCCGACCTTTCTGAAGCGGCGGACGCGGCTCTGCTGGTCCTCGACGTCGCGGGCGAAGGCGGCGTACACTTCGGCCGAGGTGTCGTCCATGAGGCCGCAGTCGTGGATGGTCCACGAACCGTCGAAGTCAGACGCACGCTTGACGATGCGGCAGCCGATGGGAATGTAGGTGCGCTTGGCATTGATGTAGGCCACAATGGGCCGTACCAGTGCCTGGTTCACGTAAGATAAGTCTGACGTGAATACTGGCACCCTTGCCTTCACGTCGTTGAGGTGGATGCGCATGTCCATGACGAGGTACCGCGGCGGCTCCTCGTCCGGGGATGGGGTGAGGGACGGGCCCTCGTCGGGCTCTGGTATTGAGGGTACAGTTTCCGGATCAGACTCATCTGGGACTGCGGAAGATTGTAAAGGGTTTGGCGCATTAAAGATTATCTCCTCGTCTCGGCGCGTAGGATTCTCGAGAAAGTGGATGTATCGGTTCGATGTCACAGCTTCCTCGAGGCGGTCGTAGAATTCCGACACCACCTTCGTGATGCTATCGTCGTCATCGCGAGGGAACCTGATGTCGGCTACAATGTCAACATTGCCCTCATATATCCAGCCAAAGGGGCCTTCAACACCTCGGTTGAGGTGGTCAATCTTGAGTCCGTCTATCCGTATGCGACTGAATTTCTTCCAGGCATCGGGCTCGCCGAGAAGATCGGCATTCTGTTCTTGCCCGGCAGCAACTCCATGAACCTGCCGGGGATGTATTGTGAAGAGGGATCCGTCAAAGGATCCGGACATATGATTAGCTGATAAGAAGTCGTAGAACAGGTACTGCTTGCGGAGCTGAGGAAGCTCGCAAGAGTAGATGCTGACAGAGAATGGCCGGAAGCCACCAGGTTGGTGGATAGTGACCAGGAGATCCTCCATTTTGAAGGAGTCGATTTCAAAATCGCCTGGGTGATGTTCGTGTCGGTACGACAAGGGGTCGACATGCTCGCCGGACCACCTTACAGATGTCCGGTCCACAACACCACGCACTCCCTTGATCTCAACATCTTTCAAGAATCCCTTGCCGTTCCACCACTTGACGAAGGACAGGGTAACATTTACAGTGTTGAGCGTTACCTCGTACTGCGTATAATTACCGTCGTCTATCTCCAAGGTTTGGGTTTCCTTATCTCCGCCTTTCTCGGCCGCAGCCACAACCGCAGCAGTAGAAGAAGTCCCTTTGCTGACTGAGGACTTGACCTGGCCGGGCCTTCGCGAAACGAAGACATTTCTGAAAGAGATTACGCCGTCTTTCCATCTCGGGACAATAGCAGACTCGAAAAGGACGGTCAGCCCGGCAGACTCAGTAAGATAATCACCAACCCATTTGGCAAGTGTTTCTGCAAGGGGTTAGCCATTGCGATTCGACAGGGGTAAGTTCAGCGCTTCTCACCTTGAGCAAATACGGTGTTTATGGAGAGAATGACGAGTGAAAAAAATGTCGTTGTTCCAAGTAGAATCCAGACGAGGTGTCCGAAGAGGAACCACGAGACAAAGGCACCCCATTCATCGATATTCCATGGTCGCATACTCCTGATCGAGATCCATTTGAACCGAACCTTGAAGCGCTCCCAGAAGCCGTTCGCTGCAGCCAGAAACTCTTCCTTTGTAGGCCGATGCGGCAGATGCGACAAGGTCGGAAGTTGGAAGTATTTTGACACGGATGCGGGCGTTGGCTCTGTTGTAGGGGTGTTGGAATCGGGCTTTGGAGGCGGCGGAGGCCTGGGAGAAGCAGATTTCTGCTGAGAGGCTGCCGCCTCCCCTCTTCCCGCATTTGATTGGGAGGTCTTCGTTCTTCGGGTGACACGAGGTGTTCGACCACGGCCTATGTGTATGCCTCTTATCCACGCCTGTCGCGCAAGCTTGCTGATGCTTGCTGTCTGTGCTGCACTTGCAAGTACAGCAGTGTCGGCTGCGGCGGAGCATGTCGCAACGACGGCGCTGCTCTTTGAAGATGTTGGTGTGAACCCGACGAGGAGTAGCCCCCCAGAAGTGAAGCTACGTCGGGCGTTATAGCCATATGTGCTAGGCGCTGGGCAAAACGGCCACGAGGAAGGTCTGGAAGATGGTGGACGTGGGATGGATGAGTATGAGGCAGCTTGGTTCAGGCCAAGGCTGTTTGCTGGATTTCGCTTCGGCGATACTCGCGAGGTAAAGGAATCGATCGACTCGTAGATGGATCGCCAGGCGTGGCGCCGCGGCCACGAGAGGGTCGTTCTAGCGGAAGACATTGCAAGCGTTCATGATGACAAGACTTCAATACTTGGTCGCGCAGATACCAGAAACAACAGTCGTGGGAATGAGAAGACACACAACAACGCCGGCAGTCGCGGAGGCCTGTAGTCTGATACCAAACTACCAAACATGGGCTGGGGAGAACAAGACCAAAAGCATGAAATCTGATCCAGCAGATGCAGGCTTCCGATTTGCAACAGTGACGCGCTAGAGCTTGGCCTTCGATCTACCCACTTATGATCCCAGCTAGCCATGTACTTAGGTTCCTTTGCTTTTCTTCCTTAGCGGATTAGGCGATAAGAGATAAGCCCACCAACAACGGATCGCTACTTTTTTTTTCGATTCAGCGAAAACACTGGCATCGCCAGCGCAGCATCCCCAAGTCCACGCCCACGTTCAATACGCCTTTAAGAATTGCGACTTCGATCCCCGATGGTCCTGACACGTCCAGCTAAGAACGTACGTCTCGAGAGAACCGCACACCATGCCGGCACCGACAGCCATGCTCAAGCAGCCGCTTGAGAATACTACCCCTCCATCCAATGTCCCGCTTCCCGAGCCCGACCAAGACGAAGAGTTCGCCCTCGAGGGCATAAACACCTTGCCAGAGGACACGAGCGCAATACAACCAGCCGCGATAGCTGATGGCGAGGAGATGGAAGTAGACGAGGAGTCAAAGCCGAGATTTGCGCCCACCCAGAACGTCGATGCCGCAACACATATCCAATCCCGCAAAGTCCTGATCCCGCCCAACCGCTTCACGCCGCTGAAGAACTCGTGGCCGAAGATCTATCCGCCGCTAGTCGAGCATCTTCAACTACAGGTACTTGCCTACTGGCCCGGTATACTACAACGAAATGACCAGGAGCTCATTGAAATCAGGTGCGAATGAACGTCAAGCACAAACGTGTCGAGTTACGAACGTCGAAACTCACGACGGATCCGGGCGCGCTCCAGAAGGGGGCCGACTTCATCCAAGCCTTTGCCGTACGTACGCCCCGTCCAGCTACATCAAGGAGCTCACTGCTAATTCTCGCTTCCACGTGCAGCTCGGCTTCGACCTCGACGATGCGATTGCTTTGCTTCGGTTGGATGATTTGTTTATCCAGTCCTTCGATGTGAAGGATGTAAAGAACTTGACTGGGGACCATTTGGGTAGGTCCCAAGGCACTACAAAGAAAGAAGCCGCAGAAATACTTGGCTAACTGCCATGTTAGCTCGCGCGATTGGTCGAGTTGCTGGTCACCAGGGGAAGACGAAGTTCGCCATCGAGAACACGAGCAAGACACGTATCGTATTGGCCGACTCGAGAATACACATCCTTGGTGGTAAGCTCCCTGAACGAATGCCTGTGGAAAAGGACCGACTTGCTGACCTGGGTTATCAGCATTCAAAAACATCGGCATAGCTCGAGAAACTGTTGTGTCGCTCATCCTCGGTGCTGTAAGTAAAATCATGCACTGGCCCCATTTTTCACGCCTTTTCGCGACGTGTGTTGAACCTGAGTAACTGACGCCGATGCTACAGCCTCCTGGAAAGGTATACAACAACCTCCGGACGATATCCTCGAGAATGAAGGAGAGATTCTAGATTTGGTGCAAGGGGCTAGATATCCAGGCATGCATTCATTCATGGAAAGGAGTTCGGGGTTCGGAGTTAAGGACATATGTGCATTCATGGTTGTGGCGATACAAAAGCATGCATGATTGCACTGATAGATCCGCAGCGAAGCAAAACTCTTGTTGGCAAACATTTGCAGAATCAGACACTCGTGTGTGGCGGGGGTATCATGAGCTCTATATATGACACGGTCGTGAAGGGGCACTCATCAGTCGTCCATCCAGCTTTGTCCTCCCCAGTCCGTATCAACACGACGAGAAAACGCCTTGAACCACGAAACAACGTAAGACGGAATAGGTAGTACCGTGGTACCACACCATCAGCGTATGTGAACTTCAACGGAGTCCATGTCCCCAATATCCGCCTCCTCGACCGTCATCTCCGGCCCGAGGACCTCGCCATCCCAGTGGAGCTCGATGCTCTTGTCGGCAGGCACGTTGGCCAGCTTGCGGAAGACCCTGATCATGAGCGCCACCGTCGTGCTGAGGCGCACCGTGGCGTTCTTGGGCGGCATGTCCCTCGCCTTGAATATGACCTTGATCTTCTTGTCCGCAGCGGCCTCCTGCTCCTGCTCCTGGTCCGGCGTCGCGGCCTCGTCGTTCTCGTCGTCGAGCTCGCCGAGTTCGCGCCGGCGGTCGCGCTCCGCCAGCTCCAGGTACTCGTCGTACTGCTCGCGCGTCCACGCCTCGAAGCAGACCTGGTCGGCGCCGTTGCGGAAGTAGCCCTCGGGCGCTTGGGTCTGCCAGCTTGACCACAGCTTGCCCTCGGCGTCCGGGCGCACGCCCAGCGTCTCCATGGTCGTGGTGCCGTAGACCTGATTCCGCTTCCACGTGAAGATCATGCTGTCTATCACCGTGTCTAGGTGCGCCGTGGTCCTCCGCTGCATCTGCTTCCAGCTGTCGAACGCCACCTGCAGGCCCTGCCGCGTCCGGTACTTGATGACGATGGCCTTCATCTCGGCCACCTGCGATATGATCAGGATCTGCACCGGTGGGTCCTCCTCGGGCGCGGGCGCGGAGCTTCCATCCAGGCCGGCCTGCTCGCGCGCTAGGCGTTCTGCTTTCGCCTTTTCCATGCGCTCCATCGCGGCCCTGACGTAGAATGCGGAGGGGTCTTCTTCTTCGTCGTCCTCCTCCTCCCCGTCTGCTTTTTTGTCCTGGCTCTTGTCCCAAACCTCCAGGCCCGAGTCTTCCGAGTCTGAGAGCACGGTTGCTGTTTGCTTCGACTTGGCGCTCAGGCCGGCCTTCGAGTCGGGTATCGTCGGCTTCACTTCCTTGACGTCGTCATCGCTGCTGTCGCCGAGAGTCACTATTGGCGTTGTAGCCTTGCGAGATCGCAATGCGCGCGTGCTACCCGAGCCCCGAGACCTGGAGCCGCCTAGAGTAGGCCGCTGGTGTCTGCCGCTTGGGGTTTGGGGCGTGGGGGTGGCTGCGGACGATTTCCGCGACTTGCGCGGCCGATCGACGAAAACGTCGTCGTCGTCGTCATCATCGAGGTCGTCTTCTCCTCCGTATTCGCTTTTAGGGAACGCCGGGGAGGCAGCGCGGCGCCGCTTCTTGGCCGAGTCCTCTTCGCGCAGTATCTGCTCCTGCAACGCGTCCTGTTCCTCTCTATGCGCACGCGCTAGCTTGTCCTTGCGTTCTTGCTCTGCCTTGGCGGCTTTCTCCTGCGCGCGCTTCTGCTGGTCTTCGATGACGGTCGGGAAGAAGTCCTTGGCGCGGCTGAAGAGCGAGAGGCCGTCGTCGTTGGTGTCGGGTTTCTCGGATGAGGATTTGCGCTTCACGGTGCGCTTGAATAATGGTTTTCTGGCCGGCGCTGGTGGCTGGAAATCGGCCATGGTGATGAGGTATGTGGGTGGTGACTCGAGGCAGGGCGGGTGTTCAGATTAAGGTAGAGAGGGCTCGTAGTGGTCAGGTCTCGTCCGGATTTCGCGATGGGAAAAGCGCGACACCTTAGGTTGTCAGCTAGAAGTATCCAAGTCAGCACGAATAGCTCCCGACATGGAATAATAAATAAATCCAGGAGGCGATCGATTTGATTGCGTCAATGTCAGATTTGGGCGAGGCTGCAAAAGAAAAGATGCGGAGGTGGTGGTGCGTGGTGCGACGCGAAGGTACGTTATTATTAAAGTTAAAGTAAGCAGATTGCAGCGCGTTGCGACCCCACGTTTTCCATTATGAGAGACCCCACATCCCTGGCACTTGTGACCAGCCAGCCCAGCTTGTGACAGAGCCGGCAGATAGTTACCCCTGATCAGGAGTAAATATCTGGCTAAGGGAAAGGATCCTGCATATCTTGATAAGACACCCTACCTGTAGAACCGGTAGGCGGCCATGGTGATTCAAATACGGTATCAATTGCAAGCTGTTAATGGAATCAATGAGATTGAACATGTACATAGCTGGCCTCGGCAACACTGCATACATGTATCGTTGCAAACCGTGAACCATACTTCAACGAGCAGATGAGTATCGTCTCAACAGGAATCCAGACGATACACACAAGGAAGTAAATGTGAGACCTGGAGTCATGGACTTCCACTGACCTGGGGATGCTGGGTCCTCGATAGCGGGGCCGTCTTCGGATCTCTAGCGTCCTCGGTGTCGGGACATCCCGCCCCACAAAGCACGTGCCGAAGTTTGGTGTAGCTTTGGCGTTTTCCATTTTTGGTTCTGCCCTGCCGCCTGGCTGCAGATGCCGCAGCCGCAGTAATGGAAAGCGGGGCCAGCTGAGCACTGTCAACTGTCAACTGGCATTGGATTCATCAATGTTCTGGGACCAATGCCAACCACAAATCCTACCTCATAGCCCAGCTCTCGGCCTCGTTCACCTCGCATCTCATTCTCATTCTCAACCAGGGATTTCAGACTCGCGCATGCCCGCTTGAACCACTTACATACAATCATGGAGAACGGCAACGTGGCAACCCAAGCCGAGGGTAAGGACCCCGCTGGTTTCCTCTCGGACATCCTCTTCAAGCCCGTCACCGTCAAGCTGAACTCGGGCGTCGTTTACAAGGGTAAGTGAACACCGTGGGTCGGTAACAACTTCCGCCTCTACGTCGAGCGTGCACCCGTTACCTATGACTGTAAGTTCGAATTTATTTACTGACTTGACGTCACAGGCGAGTTGCAGTCTGTGGATGGCTACATGAACATCGCCCTGGAGAAGACTGAGGAGTACGTCAATGGCGCGAAGAGAAGGACCTACGGTGACGCGTTCGTGAGAGGCAACAATGGTCAGTACCCCCGGAGTCACGAAGTCTTCCATGTACTGATCCTGTGTAGTTATGTACATCTCAGCCGAGTCGTGATATGTGATACCCGCTTGTCATTGGAAAGCGAGTGCAGGAGTCGCGGTTGTTGCCAGGAGCTAGATCTGCGCAAGGCGTCAGGGAGATGGATCATTCTCCGGCATACCCGACTGAAGCAAAGTCCCTGTATTCAATGCCGAGGGAAGACATGTGCCTGAAACCAAGACTCTCGTCATGGAGCAAGGGTGCCAAAATCGCTTGGGTAGGGACGAGGATGGCATGTGTTGCTGGAGACGCTCCTGTCATTTTGGTTCTAGGTACACTATCTACAGAACCTCGGGACAAATTATATCCTATCCGTCCATACGAAGTAGGTGACCCCATGTAACGCGATCTCGCCCTTGTCGTTCCTCTCAACATCATCGCCATGCATCGCGTCCCTGAAGAGCTTCTCGGCAGCTCCGCGTTCGTCTCCCTTCAGCACAGCGATCTGGCTCAGGGTGTTGAAGCGCGCCCAGAGAGCGTCCTCGGTGAGCCAGACGGTCCACTTGACCGAGTCCTCTCCGAGTGGAAGGCTGAACCTGGGGAGGTGGTCTGTGAAGGCGTCCTTGATGACCTGGAACGGATTCGGTTGCTGCTCGAACACCTCTTTCCATTTCTTGCGGACGGCATGTCAGCTCTGGCGCCGAGAGGGCAAGGGGAGTGAAGCACAAACCATGTGTCTGAATCGAGGTAGCCCATCGTCGAGTGACAGTATGAAATCATTCAGCTTCTTCTCCCACTTTGTCGTTGCCTCCCACGCCGGCGGCTTGTTGTCTGTTCACACGGTCAAAATAAACTCGTGGCTTTCCAAGATATCACGCAGGCCCATCTTACAGTCTTCGATATTCCAGATACCACCGAATATAGCACCGGGCCTCAGGACCCGATGGATCTCCTTCAGAGATTCGGGTGTAGCGAACCTTTCATAGCCACCTTATAAGCGTGAAACCCAGATTTAAGCCAAGCATGACGTGACAACTCACCAGTGAAACGCCTACAAGCCAAACAAGGTCAGCATTGTCACACCCAACTCCGAGAGCGAGCGGGCACATCAACGCACCTGAGCCGCAATACAAGCATCGCCCCACTCGTCACCAACGGGCATCTTGTCCGCCTTGCCGTCGATGACCTCGACGCCCTGCAGGTCTTTGTCAGAGAGCTTCTCCCGCATGCCGGCGTGGGGCTCGATGGCCTTGACGGCGAAGCGCTCGGGGCGCGCGGCCAGCAGCTCGGTGAACTTGCCGGTGCCCGCGGCGATCTCGACGACGTTGACGAAGTCGGACTGCGCGGCCAGCTTCAGGTTGGCCAGGAAGGCGTCGACGGCCTCGGGCGGGTACGAGGGCCGGTGCGTGTCGTAGGCGGAGGCGTCTTTGAAACCCTCCTCGGCGGCCGTTGGGAGGCTGCTTTGAGATGACATTTTGGTGGCTTGGATGAGGGTCTGGGTCTGTTTGTGGTGAGGAGGCTTGTGTTGTTTACGGCGGGAGATGCGACCGGGCAAGTGGTTGTTACTTACTCAAGCTACACCTATGATCGCATTGCGGATCCTGCCGGTAGCTGCTATCCCGCCATCTCGTCAGTCAATCAGTTGGTGGGGAGCCGAGAATCCGGATACTGATCCTAGCCGACCGAACCGTCAAATTCCCGTCTACTTTTGTGACACCAGGCATTGGCTCATCAACATTGGATATCGTCAAGAACCGCTCAGATACCTATTTTTAGCAAGATTCAATCTCATAAGAACCCGAGTCCAGCGGCTATTGCAAGCGTGTTCACTGGAATAGGAGGTGACCCTCGCTCCAGTTGATGCATCAGCGACGCCAGCTGCATAGGTAGCTTCAATGCATACAGTCGCTATCTGACCGACTGAGCCGACTGGTATCCCTTACATGATCACGCACAGTGGCAGCGGAATGCTGTATTTTTACCATTTACGGTTTTAAAGATACATGTTGTCCGTGTAGCAGGCACGAGACGCAGGGGGCGAGTGCCCATGGATGCAAGGATCGCAGCAGGTGAGGTACGTACCTGCAGGTGTCGCAAGCCGCTCATCGCCAAGGGCCCTCAGCTGTGTTAGAGTCTTGGGCCAATCTCGACCCTCAATTCTCAACCTTAAATTTCCACAGCCATGCACGAGTCGGCCGCTTTCCTGCCACACCCCGTGTAGAGCAACCACGTCTCCTCATGATCACTTCTTTCCTTCAGTCATTCATTACATCCATATAATTATGCCATTGTCTTCCCTACATTCTGTTTCCATGAATTGATCTGTCTCGCTCCCCTGCAGAGAGCTGGGGAAGCGACACTGAGAAGGAGCCCCTCGAGCGCCCAAGAATGCCGTAGCCTGGTCGACGTCCACTACCTTTCCCTATCCCTAGCGACGACGATTGTCCGATTACATTCGAATTGTCCCCCTACGATCCGCTCTAGATGCTCATCAGCTACCGACGCTTCAGGCGCAACTACCTGCGGCCGATCCTCCTCTTCTTGTTCTTCGTCTTCTTCATCGATGCCGTCCTCCTCGTGCGCCATCGCCCGGCCACCCACCGGACCGGCCTGAACCTCGGTCGACGATCCGCTGCAGCTCCAGGAAACACGACCGTTTACATTGCCTCGGTACATCGCAATACCGAGCTCATACTGAGGGAAGCTTGGAATGATGCTGTCTTGGATCTCGTCGAGTACTTCGGACCCGGCAATGTCCACGTCACGGCCATTGAGTCGGGCTCCCAGGATGGGTCGAAGGACGCGCTGCTGGACCTTAAGGCGGCCCTCGAAGAGCGCGGCGTATCCAACACCATCGTCCTGGGGTTGACAGTTTGGGAACAGTTGGAGGAGATCGAGACGCGCCCTCCACCGAATGCGCGGGAACCCGGCTGGATATGGAACGTTGCCGAGCGCCAGTGGGAGATGCGCCGCATACCATATCTCGCCCGGGTGCGGAACCAAGCCATGGAGCCATTGGAGGAACTGGAAGCTCAGGGGAGGACATTCGACAAGGTCCTCTGGATCAACGATGTTGTCTTTGATGTATGGCCACACAACCCCGGGCCTTGCTATATGTGTACGTGCTAACATATTCATAGACCGAGGATATCGTTACGCTCTTCGATACGCGAAGTGGCGACTATGCTGCTGCGTGCTCTATGGACTATAAATCATCGCCCCTCTACTACGATACATTTGCTCTACGAGACGACATGGGCTTGAAGACAGTATCGCTCTACTGGCCATGGTTTCAGTCCCCCACCTCGAGGGATTCGGCTTTACGCAATGAGCCTATCGAGGTGACATCCTGCTGGAATGGCATCGTAGCTTTCGACTCGAGTCCCTTCTACGCGAACCCACCATTGGAGTTCCGTGGCATTGACGACAGCCTGGCAGACTTGCATCTCGAGGGATCAGAGTGCTGTCTGATCCACGCAGACAACCACCTCACCGCGGCGAAGGGCGTATGGTTGAATCCAAACGTCCGCGTGGCGTATAGTACCGGTGTGTACAAAAAGGTCAGGACGAACCGGTTCCCGAGCCCCTTTTGGACGGTCGTCGGTGCGTGGGTCGACCGTATCGAAACGCATCGTATGGCCATCCAGAGCCAACTAGAGACGCGAACGGTCCAGAGGAGACTGGAGCAGTGGAAGGTTGAAACGCCGGACGGAGACCTACCGCGGTACGAGCCTGGCGAGGCGTGCCTCATCAATGAGATGCAGATCATGTGGTCTAACGGCTGGATGCACTTATAAGCAGGATAGACTGAGGGTCGAAAGCATCTTGAATAATCATACCCATTCTACATGGACTCGACAGGTCATACTAGAAAGGGGCGATAAAAAGAAGCATTCAACATCGACGATCCATACCATTCATCGTCCATCATCCATCCGGCCACCTGTTCCTTCATGAACTTTCAAAATGACTCACATGAGAAGACTCACTCTGAGCGAAGGTTTCCAAGCAGCCACTCTGGAAACCTTATAGCTTAACTCCCTATTCCACACCTCAATGGCACAGAATATGTATACCAGTTTTTATCAGGTTTGTCTGGTAGCCGGGTTGGTACGGCCTAGCGGAGTATTCTTACAAAGTATTCTTAAGAAAGGTACTCTTGGGCACAGCGGTCCGATTCCTCTAGCGGTAAAAACATCCTTTTTTATGCCTTCCTTCCTCGCCCTCTGCCCCAGAGTTACACACGCGTCCGCGTCTCTTCTGCAGTATTTGTCACGGCCACGATGACTTAGATTGCGCGTGACACGGCAGTGCCTCATTCCACCAAGCAGCCACACTGCAAACCTTATAGCCCAGCCCCCCTATTCCGCCCACGACGGTACAGGATATATATACGAGTTCATCAGGTTGGTCTGGTAGCCGGGTTGGTACGGCCTAGCGTATAGCGGAGTATTCTTATTCTATATCCTTAGGCACAGCGGTTCGATTCCCCTAGCGGCTGAAATGTCTTCTCTTTTTTCTTTTGGCCGTCTCACCCAACCAACACTTTCTCGCCTTTCTCTTTTATCATGTTGAGTTAAGCCAACTAATGCAGCAGCGCCTTATCTGTCACACATGTGCAACTTCAGGCTAATGACGAAAATCATCGAGACTTTTCTGGAGAGCTTCCAAGCAACTCCTACGGTGCAACCCGGCCCCCTTCATCAGGTAATCGCTCTTCTTAACCTACGCTACGTCTAGTTCCCACCCATGAGCGATAGGGTATCCAAGCAATTCCCCTCCGTCGTCTCAACTCAGTCATACGTCGAGGGTTGTTTGCACACCCAGGTATTGTGCGTCTGCCATGTGCTTCCGACTACAATGGCACGATAACGCGTGCAAAGCCGTTCTGCCAGCCCGGCCTGTCGACGATTCATTGTTGCAACACCGGGTATGGACAGCCGCGAGCCTCTTCGGACTAAGGTAGGATAAGCTATGTCATGTTGTCGAGGGGAGTCGGTGGTGTGGTGTCATGGGTTACCAGTCGTATGATGCACTCGAGATGGCATTCTTGGGGTCGGTCGTGTGAAGGTGAGAAAAATGATGCGCCGTTCTTCGACTTGATGAGTTCGATGCAAGGTATTAGACAGCCACGTATTACACCAAAGACCCCTGTATGTGGACGAGTCTATTCTATACCTGTTATACTATTCAGTGACGACTGACTATACAGTCCGGCCTTCCTGCGCCATCCATCTACCACACACAGGCTGCTACCTTACAAAGGAGCATGCATACCCGATCAGCATTCCACTCGTCTAGAACGGGACCCAGCACCTCAACATCCCCTCAACCGCAACGCAATTCGGACACGCCTGTGTGCAATCCGTCGCACCGCCCGGGCAGGTCTGGAAGTTGGCGTTGCAGCCGTGGTTGTCGGCCAGCGCCGGGGGCTTGGGCGTTATCCTGCTATGAAAAAGAAAGGGGTCGTGGTGGTGCTTGAGAAGCGGCTTGAGGCGCTCCTCCTCGTCGCTGGACAGCGAGGCCTCGCCGATCTCTTCGGCGTCCGAGTCTGGGCTGGCTAGGGCTGTGAGCTTTTTGTGGCTATTCCACTCGTAGACGGCGTGGGGATAGTTCCCGGTGGTGACTTCGGCGTTTAGGTCGGTTAGGTCGGATCGCTGAGTTGGGCTCGTTAGTGTGTGTGTTCTGTAAGAGCCTTTTGGTGAGACTGGGTTGGGCCTCTCTACCTTGCCGAGAATTGCAGTTGCGGCTAAGAGATGCAAGAAGGATGATTGTGGTCTTCATATTAGACAGATATCTGGCGAATATCTGGGTTGGAGCTTTCGTCCGCGGTTTGGTCTGAGCTCAATCACACTTGGCTGTACAGTGACAATGCCAATGATAGAGAAAACTGTGGTGTAGGGATCGAGGATCGGCTAGAAAGAACGTGACTGGTTGTTGGATGCGATCCCTTCGATACTGGAGATTGGCACGCAAAGTTATAAAGACTATGGATTGTCCTCTGCCCAAGGGAGGTCCACCGTCCCTTAGGGCGAATCTCTGGACTGACCATATGTCACGTCAACCACCATCACATCTCCTCCTTCCTTTACCGGACCAGGCGAGGTGACTACCACTGGAGGATCGTGGAACACGAGAGTCCCTTTAATTCGGCGATCCCCTTTATGGATAGTTTCCACAAGCCTCAAGTTTCTGCCTAAACTATTATGATTCGGGAACCACAGAACTAGCAGGAATCACAACGACTGTTGCCTCACCTGGTAGAATACGTGCAGCAATGCAATTCTACCCAGCTATCTCTCACCAAAAAGGGACACCGAGTTGATAGCAGGTAGGATGGACATCACCTCACTGTGGACACTTCAACACCTGTCCCGGTACCTTCCAAGAAAAGAACGCCATCTCGAAGGCATCACTCTTTTGCTGTCATCACTCTGTAATCATAACTAATATGACACCCTGTATACTTTCCAGTACATTCGACCTGTGTGAATGGCCGAGTCAAAAACTCAGGAGGGGTCCATGGTCTCCCAAAATACGGACCCAGAACGCAATAGGACCACAGATCTACACCTTCTCGCACGGCTGCGACCTCTCGACCACGCTGAAGACAAATCAGATGGTATACACACGCGTATGTACAGGAATCCCCAGTCCCTCTATCGTGCCTCGCCTCCTCACCCCTATCACCGCGTCCGTTTACTTGTTGTGCCACACGAAATTCCTCAGCCCGTCCCACTCATTGGACTGCAGATAGATATAGTTCATGCTGCTGCGCAAGCTGGGCTGCAGGTCGTCCGGGTGGTGGCTGAACAGGTGCATGACCATGGCCCACGACACGGAGGCGAACACGGGCCAGGCGTAGTGGCTGATGGCGGCCGACCGGCGCGGCGTGGAGACGGCGGCGAAGCCTTGGCCGGGCTTCACGGCCAGGCGGGCGAGCGCGAGGACCACGCGCGCGAAGACGTAGACGCAGATCTGCTGGTTCACCGACGAGATCTTGCCGGTGCGCGACGACCGCCCGCCGAAGACGAAGTAGCCGCCGAGGAGGCCGGCGATGAAGGTGTCGTAGTTGCCTGTGTACGCGTGCATTGCTGTCAGCATATCGTGATCTCACCCAGCACCACCTCGGTACTCGTAAGCTTCGCCCTCCCTTTTCTCTCTCCCGAACACTCCGCCTGTACACTATCCAGGCCATCCCCATTAAAACTCATCAAAGGGCACACAGCAAAGCGAGAGAGAGACACTCACCCTCCTTCCCCGGCGTGGCCCCGTAGCGCTTCAGCACGTAGCAGGTGAGCTTGTAGATGGTGGCGAACTTGGCCAGGTTGCGGGCGTGGGTGCGCGTGGCGTGGAAGACGAGGTCGAGCTTCTGGCGCAGCGTGCCGGAGCGGAACAGGAACACCATGACCAACGCGTGCGGGAAGCGCACCTTGGCCCCGTAGACGGCGCCATTGCGCGCGCCCTTGGCGACCGCGAGGAGGTCGTGGTACGCCGGGTCAAGGATGATGCGCTCGATCGAGGCCTGTGGGCGCAGCGGGCGGGGTGGGTCAGCCTTTTGCTACTCTGCTGTCTGCATTCTGCAGCATTGTTTGTGATGCTTGGGCGACCGGATGGACGTGACTACGCGGCCTGGCCGTGGTCTTTGGGCTGTTCTGTTCTGCGAGGGTGTCGCTACGCACCTTGAGGCTCTCCAGCGCGGCTGACATGTTGCCTCGGCTTATTACTCCCTGACTACCGTACCGAAGGAATGGACGTCAGCTCGGTCGGTCGGTCGTTCGCAGTCGCAATGGTGAGGGAGCCGCGGGGACGATGGAGAGAAGCGCTACCGAATCATCGACGGCCTGTCAGAAGCGCCACGAAGTGTCAATGCCTCCAGAACAAGAGGCGTCGGTGGTTGCGAGGAGGATGAAAGCACCATCCCGTCCGTCCGTCCTTCCATACGGGAAGTCGGCCTCGGCAGTGCGCATGTGAGAAAGCCGGGGATTCCAAGGATTGGCGCCCCGCTAGTGGCCCATCCTTCCCCGGGATAACGCCCAGACGCCCTGCCGCGGGCGGCCTGCTATGACGTCGCTGCGTTTGGGCCTTCTTTGGCATGTGATAAGGTACACATCGTTTGACTACATCTTTGGATTTCCCCCGGGATGGACGTTACAACGAATGGGTCAGGCATTTTCAACCATATCTCTGACCGCAAACAGGAAAACCCATCGTGTAGCCACTCATTGGCATCACACGGTGCGGCATGCCTTAGCGGGCGAGCCATGTGTTCGTGACTATCGGCCAGGCTACCTCTTCGAGCGCCCCCAGAATCGTCAGTCAGACACACCCACGGTCCACCACGATCGTTAGTATAATCTGGAATACGAGCAACTTCAACCACATACGACCATAGGATCAGGAGAACTTGGCATCCCGTCTGCTCTGCCTTAAATAAGCCTGATACCGCCGGATTAGTAGTTGGGTCGGTGACGACCAGCGAATCCCCGGTGTTGTATGTTTTCGGTTGAATTTTTGTTTTATTTATGGTCCTATTCTTCCTACGTACGATCAACTCTCCTTACCCTGTACATGCATGCGTGTTGCCTTACCCCTGTTGGCATTGACTCTTGATGCGCCGTGTTTCGCCGTGGCAGTTCCACACTTCTCCTTCCCACCACTGTTTCGGCCTCTTTCTCATCCTTCCTTCCGCAGATACTGGAGGAATACGTCGAGTGGTATGGATAGCACATCCATTCGCAGCACCACACGATAGACCGAAAGATCGGTTTGGACGACGAAAGCCACCTCCCGGCTAAGCCATTGTGCAGGGATACCACGAGGAATGGAGGTCGTTCGGATTTGGGAAACACGGACGCCGAGAGTTGATCCCGCACAGTAGAAACGCTCGCACAGCCAGACATCGGTGGCAGACCCCAATCTGCCACCTCGCAAAAAAAGAGCCGCAAAGCCGAAAACACCTTTTCTTTGCCATGGGGGCAGAATACAAAGCGTCTGCCCGACCTGGCTCGGAGATCATCCTGGAATTTGCAGTGCGTAACAGCATCCGCGCCCTGGAAGGCGGTTGGATCCGTCATCGACATGTCTCTGCTCCGCCCACGTCCAGGTCCTGGGGCCGTTTCCTGGGTCATCATACCAGGAACTGTCTTCCTCCCCATCGATATCAAGTCTGGGAAGTACCAGAAGTGCGGTTGCCCTCAAGTTCTGGTGTTGGACTCGGCTCGGGAGCTTCACGGGTTGGCCGGGTTAGTCGCTCTCTTCCGCGATACTGTGCCTGGGCACAGGCCCGGTAGTGGCCGGTGAGGCGACTGTGGTGGGAGAGTCATGGCCTCCTCCCGATGGAGGCGCTTCGCTATGAGCGGCAGCTAGCGGACTAGGGGGTGTTGGTGGTCTGTTGCGGTAGGCGTCAAGATCTCTTGCTGTCTGGTCAAGCTCGTCAAGAAGGCGCAATAGTCTAAAACTTGGTAATATGTTGTCCTCCGGGGCGACGTTACCGGCCGCCAGTGACTCCGGCCGATCGCGGTTCGAACTACCGGTTGATGGTCGTAGCGTTGGAGTTGATTCCGCAATCTGCGGCGGGGACGGATGCGGCGGATGAGACACACCATCATGAAGGGAGGCCTGCGGCGGAGACAGACGCTGCAGCATATCCCAAGGACCAGAACGGGGGGTCTGCGGTGGCGGATAGGAAACTGATGTGCGCAGCGGATCTTGCGCCGGATACGGGTTTGGACCATGATGGGAGGTATTCGGTAGCGGGAGGTCATCCCACGCTGAATGCTGCGCCGAATACGTGTTTCGATCACGATGGGAGGTCTGCGAGGGTGGATTGGGACTGTAAGGATTCCACGGGTACAGCATGCGATTAACTCCGATCCATCTGGAACCTGCTTCAGCCGCGAGTGGTTTACAAGACGCCTTGCACCTCGGGGGCAGCTGTTCGCCCGGCGCCAGCAGCGGCGCGACGTCGGAGCGGATGTTGAAGCCGTCGCCGGCCTGGCGGGGCTCCATGTCGACGAGGTGTCCGCAGCCCCGGTGCGCCATCTTCTTCCGGCAGCTGGGGCACCCTGGGTTCGGTCCTCCGGCCGAGGGCTTGAACCAGGAGCGCAGACACTCGTAGCCGAAGATGTGGCCGCAAGGAAGGTACGTCCACGCGTGATGGTGCTCGTTTGCGTGCCAGAAGACGGCGAGGTCCTCGGCGCATATGGCGCAGCGGACGGTGCGGGATGCGGGTGCGGCGAGCGGGACGCCGTACTCGTCGAAGTGCTTCTGGAGCTCGGGGATGTAGCTGGTTTCGATCTCGATGCCGGCCATGTTGGCGTTGTTGGAGGGTACCTCCTGGAGCTGTGGATCAGAGGCGCCTGTCGAGTCCTGTTGGCGTGATTTACTCATCCAATACCTAGGCTGCATATCGTCGCCGGTGCTGAGAAGACGTGGTGGTGGTTGTTGTAGGTATTCGTGGTTGTGAGAAGTGATGGAGGGAAGCGGAAAAGTGTGTGAATCTATTCGTTATTTGATCTCTTCGACCGCAAGGCAAGAGCCAAACCTAAATGATGGGGTGCGGCCATCAAGGTTGGATACAAGACTACCGCACCGCGTGCGCGTATTTATGAATATTTGGCAACCTGGCGTCTCTTGAACGGACACAAGACCTTGAGTGATTGCAACGCCTGTCGAAATTTGGTCGTACCATCGAACTCAAAACTTCGGTGGCGTATCTATCGGCCGCCTTGATAGGACCGTGGCCAAGTTATAAACAGCTCAAGGCTACAGCAGATACAGTGACAGATAAGGTCGCGTCTCCTGTCTGGCTTGATATTGCTAGACCATGACTCCTCGGTGTTGCGTGCTTAAAGGGGTAAGGTCCTCTTCTCTCCCTTCTCTAGCTAGGTATTCATAGGGTTTGCTCCCTGGGAGGTATTGCTGAACGATGAGCGATGAGCATTGCAGAAGAGCTGGTTTGTACGCCACATACTTGAACCACGAGAGCAAAAACAGTATCGCACGTGCAAGAACTGTATAATATGGGTAATGTCTAGGCCTACATGGGTACCTTGGGCATTGGTAAAAACTCAGAGTTTACTACGGTACCGTGGGCTACTCCCCCAACAACCCTTCTCGATATGCACTTGGAAGATTCACCTCGTCAGTGTAAGGGAGCGACATAATTCTATTGCGTGGTAAGGAGCGACATGATTAAATTTAAATTGGCTTGGAAGCCACGCACTATCTACTAATAGGTAGTCTATCAAAAAATCGGCAAGTATCGTTATTCGATTACATTGACGATCTTGGACCGTTGTGAGTATCCATCAACGTTCCCGAGTTCTTTTTGGTAAACTCCTTTACTTGGAGCTGCAGAAAGACCAGCTGGACTCGAAGCTCCACGAGAAGCCGGCCGAGACGCCGCCCTTGTAGGTGGCGGCGGCGGGCTGGTACTGCTGGGTGAACAGCTTGCAGTAGGTGCCGACGGGGACGCCGTCCTGCTTGATCATGAAGGCGTTGAAGAAGTCGCACTTGCCGCTGTTGTAGCCGAAGAAGTTCCAGAACGAGGTGAAGCTGCTCCCCCACTTGCCCGAGGCGACGTTCTTGGCGTTCTGCGCGTCGGCGTACTTGGCGCACAGCGACACGTCGAAGGGGCCCTTGAATACCTGCGAGCCCAGGCACGTCTTGGGGTGGTCGTGGACGGCGCCCGAGCACGACTTGGGGTTGGTCCAGCCGGAGGGGACGTCGGGCGTGGTCGCGACGGGCGAGGTACCCGACGACGACGTGGTCGACTGGGTGTAGCCGTTGGAGCCCGTGATCACAACCTGGAACGAGCCGCGGTAGTCGCCCGTGTTGGTCGCCGCCGCCGAGTCGACGCCTGAGCCCCAGAGCGAGCACTTGTAATTGCTGATGGAGGTCGGGTCGGCGCAGCTGCACTGCTCCGGGTTCCAGGCCGGGTCGCGCTCGATGTAGACGTTGAAGCCCGTGCACAGGTCGGTGCTGTCGCAGTGGTTGGCACAAGTCTGGGTGTCGTAGCTCTCGAGCGTGTAAAAGCCCAGGTAGGTGTTGGCACTGACGGCGGCAGTGAGGCCCTGGAAAGTTTGCTGATATCCCTTGGGGGTGGCAGCAGTCAAGGCTTCCTGCTGCAGCTCCGTGTTGGCCTTGAAAGCGTCGACGGTGTCAGGCGAAGAGACGGGGCCGTATCCTTGTCAAATGTTAGAGCCCCTTTTCTTGAATTTCAGGTTGTGGTGGTACTCTGAGGGTTTACTTACCGTCAGGCTGGGGAGCGCAGGGGTCCTCAGGGTTAATGAAGCCGCAGTAGGTACCGACTTCGTAGGGGGTCGGGCAGGCAGTGTCACTGGTGAAAGCGAAGGTGTTGGTCCAGCTGACAGGCGTGCATGTCGATGGGACAACAGCGCCGGTAGAGGCAGAAGTGATGACTGGGGCGGGAGCACTGGTGGTAGCGGCCGTAGCAGCAGAGGTAGTAGGCGCAGCAGTGGCAGTCGGATAATGAGCAACCGGAGGGGTGCTGGTGGTGGTGCACTTGGAAGTAGTAGCCGCGCTGGCCTGGGAACCACACTTGAACGGCCAGAAGCAGAATGTGCGCTCCTCGAGGCCTCGAGCAGCCACGGACGCAGTAGCCTGGGCACTGGCCACAGCGGAGGCAGCGGCGACGGCACTGGCTGAGGCAGCGGCGGCGTTGTAGACACCGGTCTGGGAGGCTACACCAACGGCCGGGCCGGTGGCGGTAGGGGCCGGAGCTGCCTTGACAGCATCAAAGTCGACGGCAGGGGAGGCGGGCGAGGCCGCAGCGAGCGCAGCGGCGCCGAGGATGAGGAACGAACGCATGTCGGAAGTAACTAATTCTGATTAACGAGAGTAGAATATAGAGTAAAGAGGATGAAGGAAATGTTCCTGGGAAGAATAGATCTCAGTTTCGGGCGTGATGGAACGGAAACTTCAAGTCGGTCGAAGCTGGAGGATGAGAGACGGTTATATACAGCTCGAAGCAGAGACCCCTGAAGGACTCCTCGACATGAGAGTCTTCCTCGACATTTTCAGCCATGCGCAGATCGAGTCCGAGGCCGTCGCCAAGTTCCACCGAGGAAGCGCACCAACGTGCACCAACGCTACTCATTGTGCGGTAATGATGCACTCGTGTGTCGTGCCGTCTCCCAAGTACCGACAAGACTCCGAATCGCTAGTCGTCGAAGACATCGTGCTAGAGTATGTCCGGCGCCAGGCACAGAACGGTTCCTGATCCGATCTCTTCACTAGCGGCTCAGGTAGACCGTAGATAGTCGGCCACGCCATGGCTCGTGTTTTCTATTTCCCATCTCGGTCGTGATCCGAGATTGTTGCATCGATCCTTTCTACCAGTTGCGCAGATCCCCCATTGTCAAATCTGTCGACGTATCCCTCCTCATACCACCAGACGCAAGCTGAAAGGACTGGCCCGTGGCCGTGAGGAAATCAGTCCTCTCCATAGAATGGAAAAATACGAGTAAGCTTCGGTCTTCTGACATGCAGAAGTTAACCTCGAAGCCATCCGCCTAGAACAGGGAAGACCCTTCTAGCGCCAGTGCTCTGGCTGACTGGTCACTGGCGGACTGGCGACCCCGGCGCAAAACCAACAAGCAACTAATGCAGTGTCCAGACGCGCCGATGCGGAAGCATTAGTCGACAATGCCGCTCCAGAACTCCAGAAAGGGGATCGAGTGTGCATTGCCGAGTCGAGCGACGGTGTATGAGAGCGAGCACCCGTCGACTCCCACCTGACGCACAGTCCCAGAGAGAAGATCCAGATCTATGCAAGTCTTCAGGGGGTTTTCAGGTGGCCCAACCGGAAACGGCCAAGCCGCCGGCACGTGGCTTCACCCCTTTCACCACTACGATAGTCTCGGCCCTCGGAAAGGTAGAAGAGGAAATCGATACGAGAATCGCTGCAGGAACCCGCTCCCAGCCTGCACTAGCTTCGGCAACTAGGAGCATATCGTAGATCATGTTGGATCTCACAAATCTCGGAAATCCCGGCGTCACGATTATGTAAAAAGGTCCAGTGCCTGAGGGTCCCTCTTGATCCGACTACCAATGCAGCCGATCGTCGTATCGACTCGTTGAAAACTCGCATGCTCCCCCGAATTCAGTGTGGCTCCAGTTAGTGCCGTGCAATATGACCGGCGCAGGTGAGCTAAAGTGATCTACTCGACAAGCTCACGAAGGATACGAGGACTCGGGTGCGAAAGCGAGAACTCAGCTGGGCAGATGGGTTGAACCTCGAGGTCTCGCGCAGTTGCGTATTACCTTCATAAGCTATGACACCATGCCGACATACCAGATCTTTCCGTCGAATCCCGCCAGTCAGTCGTACATTTTACTTCCGCTCGCCCTTTGGCCCCTTTCGTATGTTTATCTTGGTTGGATGTTGCGGTGGGATCGGCATTGGGCACATCGAATATCGACGGCAATGCCCCTATTGACACGCCGAGCAGAAAAAGCCCTGCCTCCTCAATACACTCCTTTACCAAGACATAATGATAACTCTACCTTGTCGCTTTCAGTCAGAACTCCTATCCGGGGAACGATATCTTGAGACTGAACCTCATAACATCATCATGTCTCCCACGCCCGTGCTAATTGTCTTGGCCCGTTCTCGAAAACAACCTGCGCCGCATCATCCTGGGCAATTGTTCCATAGCACCGCACCGCTACTCTTCGGCCAATGCAGTCTAAGGCCGCTAATCCTAACTACGATGTCCAGTTCGTGACGATACCTCGCTTCAGACGTACGCTTGCGGCTTTGGCGGTAGGAAGAACCATGTTATGTCTCTTTCAGTGGCTGCTTTTGGGTAATGTGGCCGAATCTGCACTCACAGAGTCCTTGCCTAGCATGTAAGAAGTCTACGAAAGATGAACCAAAAGGTGAAGCTATGTTGTAGGAGTGATTGTAACCTGCCACCCTAGAAACCGTAAGCTGCCACCCGCTAGGCCCGATTTGGACAGCATCCCACTTCTAATTGGCTGCACTCCTACTATCCCTTTTAGCATCGTGAATACTTCTATTTGGGTGCGTTTCTTACGAAACTAGAGATACCTGCTATGATTTCGCTAGGTAACGACGTAAGGTTAGAATTAGGGTTAGTGGTTAGGGTTAGCCGGGGGTTTGGGGGGTGGTGCGAGCCCCTATCTGTGAATGTGTCTTTGTGTGCGCTGTGGTGGTGGTAATGGCCGTGGTGATGCGTTATGGTGTTGAGTCGCACGCGTTGTTGATATAGTGGACTTAGCGCTGTGGTTATAGTGGGGGGCGCTGTGATCTGGGATGTTCACCGAATCGGGCTTAGCGGGTGGCAGGTGGGTGGCAGTTTACGGGTTTCTAGGGTGGCAGGTTACAGTTATTCGTGTTGTAGCGCTATACAGATCTCCAGGATGGTAAATCGTAGCGTCTCCATATGCTGGGGGTGGCCTGGCAGCCGCCTGGAGCCTGGGTCCGTATATGGTGGCAGCTTTCCTGCTACAACATGATAGGAAGTGACCATCGTATGACGTTTAATCCACCACGACAGATCATTATCATCAGAACGGGTGGGTAATGTATATTTCCGCGTCAAGCGCGTGTTCCCATCAGGCGGAGTACAGACCCAGAGGCACCCCAGTACATGGAGAAGCTACGATTTACCATCCCAGAGATCTGAAGGCAGGATTCGGATCTAACACCACTGATACGAGGTGATCACAACCGGGTCTCTCTATTCAAAACACCGGTCCCATGTCCGCTTCTATACGGGGGTTTGCTCCCGTTCAAGAGACGCCGTCGCCCGGGAGGGAGCCCCGACTCGAAAGACTACGGGACGGACGCTCCCGAGTACACAGGGATAACGAACGGATGCTACCAGCTTATCAGTATGGAACCCTTGTCCGGACGTGTTTCACATCGCTCACAATGTACAAGACCTACGGTAACCTCTTCCAGAGCTAGTATTCTGGCATCCTCGTGATCCATGGTTGAACGACATAGCCGCCCTGATGACCGCGGGTTCCGCTTGATTTGAAACTCTATGCGTAGCGAGGCTGCGCAGGTGACTGTTTCGAATACCGCGATAGACTCTATACTGTACAATAAATCCTCGACCGCTACTAGAGTGCGCTTCCCTCGATATATTGACTTGTGACATCACCTTGTAAGGCCGCTGTACGACTCTCAACACGCGGAGCAAAATTCTATTAAAGTCGTCATCGTCGTCGTCATCGTCGTTGGCTTCTAATCCAGTCCCCTCCGTAGAGCAAGCCAGGCGCCCACGCCCTGTTGCGTTGCTAGTATCTTCAGTCATACTCTCCTCAATGGACAGCTTGTTTACAATACTTAGGGGAGAGGAGCACAGAATGGGCAAAATTCGTGGAGAAGAGCAAGTTCTTTTCAACAATCTGTCCCCGATGGATAGCTTTTCTTGAAAGACCAGATGGATGACCCCAAGGTCATACCGCCGCAACAACGGGGATGGGCCCGTGAGCGGGACTGACTGTACTTATTATCTTGAGACCTCCACAACCCTGCGATGCAGAGGCTCTGGGAGTCGTGGTTTGCACTACTGAGGAGCTGCCCCCCACGTTAAATACAAAACAAACAAACATACTCTCCTCAATGCCGCGCTATATGTAGCACTTTGACAGATTTTGGTAAAGGGGTGTATGACCATGTATACACGAGTAGGTATGTGCAGTACCAATATCCAGAACTACATCGCAAACCAGCGCTCGCTCTAATGTCTCTGTATCGACCGGCCAGCACGACACCGTGTGTAAGAATAGGGATAACACAAGCTATCACAGCCCTCCTGGTTGACTTTACTAGAAATCTTTTGATCGTGTTGCATAGTCCTCAAAGATAATTTGCTACCCTACTAGCCTTCTTGCCCCAGTAGGAAACGTGATTTTTGAAGTTTAGTCTTCTATCTAGCAGGACACCTAGCCATCGCATGGAATCCTCTGCTGTTTTGTTTATTGTCCCGTGGCAGACCGGGGGGTTGTCTGAATTCTTTTTCTGCCAGAAGTGCATGATCTCTGTTTTATTAGGGTCAAATTTAATAGCGTTGTTATGTCCCCATTGATTAAGCGAGTAAAGATTTTTGAAAGCCTCTGTGGCTGTTATTTTAAGGTCCTTTCCAATGCAGAGAATCGCTAGGTCGTCTGCGTATCCAAAGCGTCTCTTTTTCACACCAAGCTGGGCACAGATTGGCTCTGTATATAGCATATAAAGGATTGGCGAGGCCGGTCAGCCTTGTGATAGCTCATAAGTAAGAGCTTTCATATTGGTCATGATACCTTCAAACCGGACCCTTGCGGACCGCTCGGACATAAATGACTGGACCCATTTTATAAGAAAGCCCGGCCAGCCCTGTTCTCTCATACGAACCACCAGTCGTCCCACTAGGGCAGCGTCAAAGGCACCTTTCACATCTGATGTGACTGCCGTTGCAACGAGGCCTTGGTCAAGGGCCTGCTCGATGTCATGTATAAGTGCAGCTACCAGATCGGTGGAAGAGCACTTCAGTAGAGCTCCAAAATGTTGTAGAGCTAGAATTCCAAGTTTAATAACAAACCAAGCAATTCTTTTTGTAATGAATCGTTCTAAGCCTTTGCCAAGACATGATAGCAGCGATATTAGTCTGTAGGCCCTGGGGTTAGAATAGTCTTTCTTACCTGGCTTTGAGATCATTACTACCTCAGCTACTTTGAATGGTTTAGGGTGGTGTCTGATCTGTAGACAGGTCTGAAAGGGCTCTGACATGTTCCCTGATGACTGGCCAGCAAGCTTTTAGAATCCGTACCGTGAGGGCATCTATTCTCGGGGAGTTGTTCTTGGTCCCCACAGTGCACCCTTCAGCCTCTTCTAGTCCAACGTGGTATTCAAGGGGGATGTGTGACTTGAGTTGTGCGATCTGAGCGGACCAGGGGTCGATGATATCGTTGTCTGGGGTACTTTGCTCAAGCGTGGCTAAACATAGTGCATTCCCCTTGCTCTCTTGTGACTCAAATGTTTGGCCTCTTATGATTATTGGGGGGGAACGCAGTCCCACTGACAGCTTGTGCCAGGAAACGATTCTGTACACGTCCTTTGGTTCGGTTGCTGAATCTATCAGAGTCTGCCAGTACTCTCTCCTGGCTTTCCGAGCCACGCGGCGAAAGTCTCGTCGAGCCGAATTCCGCCCTTCTTGGGATTATGCACCTCAAATGTCTGTCACCTGTCTGGGCTTTGACTTCATC